CTGGGAGTGCTTTTGGAAAGATGAACAGGATCTGGTACTTGCTGTTAGGCTCTGATCCTGGTCCTGCAGTTTCCCTAAGCTGGAGAAGTGGCTCCATCACCAAGATCCAATCAGAGTGCCTGTGTCTGCCCCAGCCCTAGCCAGATCTCTGAATAGCCTTTCCCTAACACAGCCTGTCAATTGTACCCACGGCTCTTTTAGCCTTTTCCTGCAAACAAATTATTGCTCCAAAGTGTCCAAGGAGCCTTTGGGGCTCCTCCAAATGATAGGAGCAGATGATACTTTCCAGAGTAAATGTAAGACTATTTTATGGGAACAAATAGCAAATGAACATTACCACTCAGCAGTGGTAGCACAGATCCTGCAAACATGTTGGTGGGAATGCCATTTTGCAAAAGTTGTCATATGCCTGTCACCCTCAGTGTTCAAGATCAGCAACAGTAATTTGCTAATGTCTCCACTGCAGCTTTCATGAGATGGCCATGTATGATCTTCCAGCAACAATCAATTATATTCTGCAGAAAACAGGACAGGAGCAGTTATACTACGTGGCTTACTCTCAAGGCACGACCACAGGTACTTACGAGGGCACTGGATTTAAGTTGGGTGTGAGTAGGTAAAAATTTACATTAATGGAAAAATTTTCAGCACTGGTGGTCCAAAACTGGTTGTGACAATGGCTTTTGATGTATCCCACCACTGTCAGAGCCTCAAGAAGGGGCTGTGGGAGCTGCAGATGGACTCAACAGTCAAGCTGGGAGCTGAAATGCATCAGCAGCGAAGGGTCCCTGTCGGGACACCAACATGCTCTCATATCTGCATGTTCCAGGATATCAGCATGCTCCAGGGTTTCTCACAATGGACACAGGCATCTCAAGTCAAAAATCATGCATAAATAGCAGGGCAGGGTCTAATTCTTAAGTCAAAACTCATGCATAAGTAGCAGGGCAGGGTCTAATTCTTTCTCACTCCTACAGGTTTCATTGCATTTTCTTCCATACCTGAGCTGGATCGCAAAATTAAGATGTTTTTTGCCCTGGCTCCTATCACCACAAGCTCAAATATGAAGTCACCCTTGGTCAGAGTGTTTGATCTTCCTGAGGGTCTGATTAAGGTGGGTCCTCCCTTGGCACTCCCCTGGTTCCATAAACAAAACCTCGTTCTTAGGTTTCCTGACCAGGGTCAGCTGCATAATACAAGGGTCCTGGTTTCCATCATCTCCATCATGAGTGCTGTCCTGGCTCTGCAAGCTTTCCTCCAAGTGCTGCTGAAGCATTGTGAATCACAACAACCAATGCCTTTGAACTTCACAGCTCATCTTAGGACGCACGGTGGTCTTTGATAAGGATGAGATCCTGAGGCAAGTGACATCCCGTTTGTGCAGCTACACACTCTTTAAAAGCTTTTGCTCCTTGGTCCTGTACTTGCCTGGTGGGTTCACCAACAGCTTAAACGTGGTACGTATCCTCCAGATTACTTCTGAAGTGACCCAGTTTTCTTCTTGTTAGAGCCTAGTGTGGATGTGCAGTTGGGAAAAGAACAGTGTCCTGTTCTCATCAGCTTTTCAATATGGAGCAGACTGTGGGGCTGGCCACTCGCACCACAGATCCCCAGAACAGAGATAGGGTGGGAGCTGGTCTATTATTTCTCAAGGAAAGTGTTGATGTTATTCCTCAATTTCCCAAGCAGGGAGTGCTTGAGAAATAACAAGGAGAATACAGTGATGTGTTGCACACTGTCTTTGCAACAGGATCTGAATTACAAGAGACAGATTTTTACTTTGATTTGAAACCACGTAGACTTGTAATGCGACCCGATATCCCATGAAAGTTGCTAGGCTCACTGAAGGGAGCTCTGTAGCACACTTCATGCTGCTGCCTGCAGTGTGGGTTTCATGCACAGTGTTGAGCTGTGCCTTCGCAGAGATAAGACAAAGCACTTTGTGCAAATAAGAGCTCCCGCTAGCCTGTGTGAGTAACAGACTTGTTGTGTGGCTACAGAATTGGGTCAGATGTATTCCTCATGAGATTTCCCGCTACACAAAGAATAAATGTCTCCAATGGTTTCTTGCAGAGCCGCATAGATGTCTACCTGTCCCACTACCCTGATTCAACATCCCTAAAAAACATGTTACATTGGCGCCAGGTAATATTTCCTCCTGTTGAATGAGAGCAACCAGGGTTCACATTCTTCTCTCTAAGCTGCCAAGAATCTCTTCTCAATACTCAGATATAGTGCTGCATTACTTTCCCTAGGTAATGGATGTAAGCTAAGTGAACTGTGCATTTCTGTGGCTTGTGTGTCCCAAAAGACAAGCCACCTCCCCAAGTCGTGCTGTCCACCTGAGGCAAGACAGAAATTTGATTTATGTTGATATCACAATGTTGTTCTGCTTCTATTCTTTCATGCTCTTAACAGAATAAGCAATCACAAATGGCCTCTCACTGATGTTTGAAGCTACCAGTTATCCTTCCTCACCTGCTTTTGTTTCTTTCGTGGTCCCCTGTAATGCATGGAAAGTTAACATAGCTCTCTTCTTCTTCTAGCTCTATCAAACAGGGGAATTCAAATATTATGATTATGGCAGTGAGAACATGCTTCACTACAACCAGGTAAGAGAAATCTATTCTCATTTGTCAGTTTAAAAAACAAAACAAAACAAAAATTCAAATGTAACTATTGCTGTGACTGAGACCTAGTTTTATGGAATTTACTTTGTATGATCATATGGGATTGTACCTTTCTTACACTAGGGGGTTGAATAATGCCATTCACTGATGACTTCTCGGAACTCTGGTAAAAAGTATGAAAGTTCAAGGCATAGTTAGAACCTCCATTGACATGTCATTTATTGAGAGAGAAAGGAAATCCTAAGCAGCAATCAAGAGCACTTTGTATTTTCAATCTGCCTGTGACTTCCCAGACCTTAGGCAATGTTATTCATTTTCCAGAGCACGCCGCCCTTCTATGAGCTGGAAAATATGAAAGCACCACTTGCTGCATGGTTTGGTGGCAAGGACTGGATTTCTGCCCCTGAAGATGTAAATATAACACTGCCTCGTATAACCAACGTGGCGTACAAAAAGTACATTCCTGAATTTGTCCACTTTGATTTCCTTTGGGGTATGCAGGTATATGAACAAATATACAAAGAAATTCTTGAATTGATGAAGAAGAATGCCTAGAGGTGGGACAGTCGCAGTAATTGCTGATTTCTCCTTTACCTTTGCGTATTTTCTCCTTTCTTTATGTGAAAAAAAAAAAGGCGGGGGGGGGGATGGGAAGGGCTCATTGAGGTGCTGCACTTGTGGGTTTTTATCAGTCTGGCAAGTGAGGAAAATTGGCCAATCCAATGATCATAGAATTGTGTAGGATTTAAGTTAATTAAGTAGGTGGAGATCCTTGAAGGAGTTGGGCATGGACTTTGGGCTCCGAGCCTTTCATGCTCATGGATTTCCAGGCAGAAGCAATTTCTGTGGAGCTCCTGACCAGTGCTGTGGGCTCTGGGTGTTCCCAGCTGCAAACAGCAGCACAGTAGCTCTGCTCTGTCCTGGATGCTGATGTTTCACCAGTTGGGACCGCTGTCCCAAAAAGCTAGAAGCTATCTGCCCAGTGATGATTACAAGAGCTGGAAGAAGCTTATGCAGATAATCACACGCATAACAGAGTTTTCAATAAGATCTACCAAGAAAGACCACTTTGCATCCTTTAAGTAATATTCCCAAGGTACAAATCCAGATGGAAAATTCAGTTTTGCTGAGTTTCAGGAAATGCTTTTGTCTTCCTCATGTGTAAGAGAGAAGAAGAGTCTGGTGGAAGCCTATAATGAGTCTAACTCTGTTTTCAGCTTCTGGATTACAGTTTTTAGTAAGATACTGATTAGGGGAGGAATTGTGAATTTGCCTGTTTGTGTAATTATACTCTTAAAATATGTCTAGAAGCAAGCAGGGCAAAGGATAAGGCCCTTTTTCCAAATACACTTATGAAAATTATTAATAAATAGATAGGGTCCACTGGGCTCTGTGTGATTGTACTCCCTTAAACCTCTGGAGCAACATGGAGATTTTCAGCATAGATCTCTTGCCGTATGAGGATGAGGGATGAGGCAGGTTGCAGGCAGCAGTCTGGAGGCTTAGAAGGGGTAAGGAGAACAACACGGCCACTCTCCAAAGACAAACTGTGGGTCCAAGCAGCATGCTTTCACCCAAGTATCTGGAAGGGGTGGGATGGAACTGCTGATGCACATTGCTTTTGGCAAGCTGCAGCAGAGTCTGTTAGAGTCTAAGGAAATCATCAAAAGTGTAAAGATGTTCACTTTCTATCCTTAGAGCTAGTACTGATAACAGAACAAACAGGACTGGTCAAGGTGTTCTTGAGGTGTAAGAATCAAGCTATAGGTTACATATGATCTATAGATTAATAGAATCATTGAATGGTTTGGCTTGAAGGACATTACTGAATACCTAGCTACAAATCCTGCCATGGGCAGGGACATCTCCCACCTGACCAGGTTGCCCAGGACCACATCTAGCCTGGCCTTGAGACCCTCCAGGGATGGAGCATCCATAACTTTTCTGGGCAGCCTGTTCCAGGGCCTCACCATCCTCTGAGTAAGGTTTTTCTTCCTCATATCTAATCTAAATCTCCACACTCTTAGTTCAAAGCTGTTACCCCTTATCCCATCATTACGTTCCCTGCTAGATTCCCTCTCAAGATTTCCTGTAGGCCCTTTTAGGTACTGGAGGGAGCTAAAGTAGCTCCCTCACTTTTTATTTTTGTAATGACACCCTTTTCTGTGTAATTGGTTATTTAGTGCAGGGCTCTGCCTTAAAGCAGCATTCCTCCAGTAATGCATTGTGTTCATGCAATGAATGAGCATGCAAACACATGAAGTGTTTCCTATCCTTGCAAATAAACATCCAGACTTCTGAATAGCTTGTAAAATCTTATATATTTTAATTTAAAATTACTAAATTTTTAAGTCTGAAAGTTCCTAAGAATTGCAGTGTTTCGGCTCTTTTTCATTCTGTTCGTTCTTCAGTGTTTCTTCCAATTCTGTATTCATCTAAGACGAAGTTCATATTGCACTGCTTTAATACATTCCCACGGTGGAGTGTTCTGATGAAATTCTTTCCAAACCAGGGTCTGAAAGTTCCAGATGGAACTGATACTTGTTTCTTAAGGGTTCAGCAATTGCAAAGCGGTGCATTTTGAAAGAAAACAGCGAATAATCAAGGTGCTTGCAACATAAATATTGTGATGTTCTGTCATCTCAAACTGCCTCAGTCGATAAAAGGGTTTTCTGGAGAGCTGTGCTAGTCTTGCAGGGACTGGAGCCCTTGCTCATCTCAAGCCTGTTGTTTTGGGGCTGGAGTTTTCTTTCGTAAGCACAAGGACATCCAGGCACCTTGCTCCCCATGTGAATGTCTTGAGACATCTTATCCTCCATGTGTGACCAAACCTCAACCATACACCTGCTCACGTGAAGGATATTGGTATGTAGCCACTGACTTAACCTTCTTCCAGGTGTTCTCAGGCAGAACAATTTTTGATCTGTTTATGTTTGGCATGAGAGGTAGGACAGGCTTAAAACTGTGTTACATCCCATTCAAAATACAGTAATTGCATCATATTTTATGGCCTATAATTTTCTGTCATCACCACAATGAATGTGAAAAAAAGCAGCAGGCTCATGTGCTCAGCTGTGTCCACACAGAAGGCCATTCCAGCATGAAGCCATTCCAGCTTGAGGATTACAGAGGCACAGGCTTGAAATGGAGCTGCGCTTTTGTAAGTAATCCTAGGATTGTTTTGGTATCTCATTTAAGCAACTGACTGGTCTGTGGTGTTATTTAGAAACTAAATTTTACTGGGATTAACCTCGGACAGGGTTTCATCAAGTCGTGTCAGACGGTGCACTGCCTTTTCATGTTGTTTTGATCCTTAACAGCAAGCCTGAAAAACATCATCTGCAGTCACTGGCATTTCTGAGAAGATTCAGGCTTAATCCCAATCTTCCAAGAAGATTCAATTCATTCTCTTGAGGACACGTGTCTTTCTTAACATAGGAACCGTGAGCAATTTCTGTGTTATTTCCTATGTTATCTCCAAGACTGTTAGACAAGTGCTTGAAGACAGACTGGGCAGTTGGTCCCCGAGACTTGTGGTTTTATTTGTTGGTACTTTAAGCAAATGGGAAATGTATGTGCCCATGTGACAAGTTATGGTTAGCCAACATCATGGTCAGATATAACCACCTCCAATTGCTCTTCACCAGCCTGGGCAGGTCTCTGCTCCTGACTGCTGCAATTTGTCCCAGACTTAACTGTGGGATGTTACTGCTTCCTGAATTGCCTTGATCCTAACTTAGTCTTTTTCTGTCAATTATTCATCAACAAAAAAGGTCCAAGAGCAAATTTGAAAAAATAATATTTTAGTAATATTACTAATTATTAAGTTTTCTGAATTGCTCAGGTCTGCTCATGAACAGACCAATCAATGCTTTAAATATGCTTTAAAGCCAACTGTACAATTAGGAACAACCAGAGACGTATAAGACGTTCAGGGTTTTTCTGGGGTCACCCGAACACAGAATGAGGGCAAGAAAACAACTGAGAGAAATCCTGGGTAACCATATCACAATTCTTTTGCAATAAGCCTTACAAAGCATGCATGCATTTGTTGATTCAGTTTCACTACAGTGTATAAAATGATTGCATGAACTGTCAAGGTGTTGTGAAAATAATTCCCTATTACATCAAGCCTGACTATGCAATTCTAGCATGGGTAATGCCCCTATAAACTGTGTAATCAGAGATAATGGAGACAACGCAGTCGCATGGAGGGACTTTGAACAACAAGAGGTAGCACCAGATAAACACAATTTTCCTCACCAGTTTTTTTTACTTGAGTAAGGTTCTTCAAGGATACTGACAGGGAATTATGTTTATCTGGCCAGGATTACACAACAGTTGATGTTCCCTAATTGCTAAAAAGCAGAATTATGTTGTTTTTCTGAGCTCAGGATGCCAGAACCAGATGTCAGCTAGTAAAGTATCTCCCTATTCGTGTTTGCTTACCCTTGTGCTTGGCAAGCGTCAACATTGAGAAGGTACAACAAACACACTGAGCATACCACCTGGCACCTTGCACATGTGTGAAAGCATCAGAAGCACGAGAGCAAGAGTTAGAGGAATGGCATGCACTGATTTCCAAGGATGTGATTAACAACAATCAAGCCGGTGAGAGCTGAGAAACATGTTTCTTGTGTTCTCATGTGTCACAGAGAAGGTGACTTGTTGACAGAAGACATACACCCGACAACAGAATGGCAGCAGAGGGGATGCAGCACATCTCATGGGTTGTTCCTGTTATCCCATGAGGAGGACAAGTTACAAGCCCAAACAAGAAAATGAAAGATGCTGACCCGCAATGTTGTCTAATATTTACAAAACTTGAAGTAAATAAGACTCAGAGGCAAAATATCACACCACAGTATCTTTCAACTCCTAAATGATCTCAGGTGTCTGTCCAAGAACAAGCTGACCTTGGGACTTATGAGGAACCCAGAAGGCATGCTGAGGACCCAACAGCTGGCAAACCTCGCCTTCCATGACACATGCAGGTGACCTTGGCCAGAGCACTTGGGCACACATATCTTGGCCCTGATGAGAATGAATATCTGATGTGAATATATTGATTGATTCTTTACTTGCTTAGGAAGTCAAATAAAATGTCTTTTTGTTTCTAAACAGTCTTGCCTTTTCTTTCATTAGTTCCTACAACAGTACTGTACAAACGTCCCATGAGCATGATTATACAGTTTAATTTTAAGATGCCTATGATAGTCTACTTAATATTTGGTTATATGCCCTACCAGGTATCAGGAGGCCCTGACATAGTAGGTTAAAACCATTGATGATTCACAGTTCTGTCAAATGGACAAGCACAACAGTACCACAACAGTACGACAACAGTGCTATTCTTTTCTACACTTGCACCTATATGTCAAAATGCCCAGCTCTGATCTGCCAATCTCAGAAACTACTAAGGTCTCCATTCTCAGTAAAAGGCTAGCTGCTCCTGGTTGGTAACTTCTCTTCTTCCTGCCACAGATACAATAAGTACCAGTGCAAAATTTCATATTGCATCTCTAGCAATACTTACTATTAGCATCTGGTACCTCCCCTGGATAGCTACTATCTAATGGAGGTAGAAGGCAAATAATTGTGGATGAAGTAGCTGACCATGCAAGTAAAATGCCTGTCTTGGTGCTGTGGAAGGAAACCAGAAGGTAAAGCAGGAAAACACAAGCCATGTGGTGCTTTCTCCACCCACAGGGTATTTTTAAAAGTATTCTTGGATTGCACAATGGAATTGTCCTCTACACGAAGCCCATCTTATGTGGTGGGATGTTGGTGTACACAGGGTGGGGAAGACATTTTAAAAGCCCAAATGAGACCCAGGGACAGAAGTAAGGTAATGAAACAGCAAAGGCTCTGGTCACACCCATTGTGGGGAAGGTAGCACCCCCACACACAGCTCCTTTATGTCAGCGGCTGAGCGCTGAGAGAAAATTAGAGTCTGGTGGATGGAATGACATTTGTGTTCTGTAGAAATGTGTCAGGTGAGTGTGCTTCACAACATCAGAAACCAACTTAATCCTTATCCAGAAAATGTACACAAACAGAGCACATGCTATCCAGCAGGTCTTTCAGACAGCTACCAAGCAGATACAGAAAGGCATAGGTTACAACATCATGGGCTAAAGGTGGAGAAAGAGCACCACTGTCGTGTGCAGTGCATAGCACTTCAGTTAAATGGGCACTGCATAAACTCTCCTCTGTTTTGCAGTCCATCTACAGGATGCTGAGGTTGGTGCTTTTCCAGAAAGCACTGCAGAGGTTTTGCGAGTTGCCTGTTGCAAATACAATATCCCTCGGGCCTAAGGGGTTTTGTGGAGGCCACCTGGGACTGCCACCCTGTGTTTCCCACTCAGGCAGCCAGCAAAACCTGCCCAGCCCCTGGAGTGCCTATCTAGAGGTCAGCATGCTGCTGTGGTCTAACAAAGCTGCTAAACAGCTCAACATAACTGCCATTTGCTCCTGTTATCTTGAGTCCTCTCCTTGCCCCAGGAGCTCTTCTAGCATTCTCAAGAATTCCTAGGAGATAGGAAATCATCTTTTCCAAATGAAACATTTTGGTTTTGTTTTTTTTTTTTTTTTTTTTTTTTTTTTTCCAGCAGATATCATGAGCTGAAGATGAAACTCCATAGCTGAAATTCCTTGCCACATAAGCCCAGCTGCTTTTGAAGATGTAATTCATTGCAAGCCCGAAAGGTATGATCATAAGACCAAGAAGAGGAAGTTATCAAAGATATGACCAGTGCATCCCTTAATTGGAGGACACATGATGTAGCCCAGCACAGTGCTGATGTAAAAGGACTCTGACGCAGCACACTCTTTTTATTGCTGGTATTGGTAGAGACACCATCACTCACACCGCAGCCTGATCATACGACAGTGGGCGCTGCCTGGTAATGTATTTTCCTCTGTAATTCAGATTCGCATAGCAGCTATTCTGAGGGTGAAAAAGCATTGACTACTTTTTTTCTCAGTTGCTTGCTTCTTGTTGCTACCATGGAGGCTGTTACTATGAACATCTGGACTATTTCAGAGGGCAGGTATGTCTCAAAGTGTGAGACCCACTGGGAGAAGGATGAAAAAAGGTACACGGATGGTGAAAAGATCTGTTGCTCACACTGTTAGATAGAAGTTAAGCTCTAAATTCTAAGAGCCTGGCAAAGCATTAAAAATCTTATGTAATATTAACTGTGTATTACAAATACATCTTTGCTCAGTGCAGGAGCAAAAGGTAGTTAAAATGTTTCTGTTTATTTCAAACTGTGCTTATTTAATAAATATTCTTCCTAGAAATCTCTAGAAGCTTTGGTTCATGAGTCAATAGTGGCTTCTGGGTGCAAACGGTAAGCAATAAGGAAACAGTGAAAGTATAGATACCTCTTCATAGTGCAAGCTCTTACTTAAAATGAATTCCCTTTATGTGGCGTCTGTCCTGACAGCAATTTCCATCATGTTAGTTCTTCAGTTATATAATCTTCCTACCATTAAAATTTCAAAGATGGGTCTTGCTGCTGCTTGACCCAGCCTGTGTGGAGGAGCACAGAGAACTCTGCATGGACTCCGGTGGGAGCTGGAACTGGGAATACCCTCTGCTTTTCCACCGCAGCCTGTCATCTGTGGTCATCAGACGCTAAAGAAGCTCAGCCAGCAGAGCCGAGTAGGACCAGACATTTGTAACAATGTTATTAACAAATAGCAATGGTATTTTACACAGGCACGAGATGCGGTTGTTGGTTGCAGTCCTGTTCTTGATGCAAGCAGCTGCAAACTCAGATGATGTCACCACGAGTCCAAAGACTGTAAATCCAGAGACATTCATGAATGTTGTAAGTCAGAAGAATATTGGATGTCCTCTCTGTCTGAACATTTGTAGATATTTAACTGGGTGAGAGAGGGCCATGGAGGGATGCAGGGTGTGTGGTTAGGGCTGTAGTAGCCATGTGTACTGGTTCTGTGGTGGCACATGGCATTGTGCTGTCTCCATACCACCATTAACGAGCCCTGAATGAGTCCTCATTCTCCCTGCAAATTAAGTGCAATTAGTAGAAGCAGGTTAGTTAGAGACAGCAACAGTCTCAGTTTGGATTGAATCAGACTTCTTCCTTGAAGGTAGAAAGTCCTGCAGGCTCCTCTCTCCTCGCTCAAACATGTGACATTCACTTGTGCTCCTTGACAAGGCAGCAGCCCCACCACGAATTTAAAACCCCACTAGTGAACCCAAAACCCAGTGCCAGCAGTAGTTCACTGGATACAGACCCACGAGCACACAATGCTGAGGGTTTCACACAGACCCTGCTCCTAGCAGACCCAGCAACACAGCTCCGCAGGCAGAGACTGAGATGAAACCAAGAGCTGAGCCGTGAAATTGCTGAAATTAAATGCCTCCAGCAACCACATGAAAAAGCGGGCATGGCAACCCAGAAGCAGGAGCACTGCTTGATTTCACCAGAATGAAACGTCCCAATCTGTTGGATTTGCAGTGTAGATAAAGCCGAGGTGAAGCCCCGTGAGCCCTTTGACAAACCACAGGAGGCCTTTTCAGCTGAGCTATCTATCCCTGCAGGCTAGGTAGGCCTGTGAGCTTATCTGCCCCGCCAGCCAGCTCAGAGGACAGCACGGCATGTTTTGCTGCTAGTGCCAGGTGTCAGAAAACTCTTCTGTTTTCAGCCCTCGCTTCCAGAGGAATCCACATGCACACGCTGTGCTCAGGTCTGCTGTATCCCAGCCCCAGGCCCACATCCCCTCCTGTTCACAGGCCCACAGGCACCAGCACACAGAACATCTCATCACACGTAGGCCTCACTGGCTGACGTTTTCCTGCAGTAGAAGCATTTAAGTGGGGTGAGTTTCTGAAAGAACACCTCAGGTAAAAGATTTTTTCCCAACAACAGGTTTCTGAGTCCTTTTGGCTAGAGAGAGTGAAGACAGTGAGGATAGTGATACTCGGTGTGGAGACATCTCTCCATACTGTTCTCCTTGCTCGGCAGGGGCATCCAAGATGATGAGGGATGTGCTCTGTGTTGACTGACTGTGCCAGCTATGTAGGTTTCCATCTTGTTTTTTCTTTTCCCAGAGCCAAGTGATCTGCTACAGAATGTACCCCAGCGAGGAGTATGAAATCCTCACTCGTGATGGTTACTATGTCAAACTGAACAGAATTCCTCATGGGAGAGAATATCCTAGGAACACAGGTATGGCTCTATTTGGCAAGGATGCTAGCAAACAGGTGTAACCTCTCAGACATACTGTTTGATTTTTGGGTGGCCCTATATGGAGCCACACGTCCCTTCCAGCTCAGGATATTGTGTGATTCATTGGTTCTATGATTCTAACGAGCAGCTACCTGAGATCCAAGTGAAGAGATGAATCTTACTGGGCCAGTATTTATCACTAATGCAAAAATACCAAATCCATGGCCCTTCTCCAATTTGTAGTCAAGGCTTTAGCAGCCAGCACAGGAAAGTATGCACACAGCACAGGAACCTCTTTTGTTATCAAGCAGAAACTCAGTTTAAAGGCTCAAAGGATGCAGACATATCTTAAGAAAGCTCCTCATTTAATTTTTTCACTGAAAATTTGTGTCTTTGAGGTGTGTACTACCTCAGTGACAAACCTGTAGGTCTGAAAGTGTGTGGATGCCACGATCTGTCCATGTCTGCAGTGCTGAGCACATAGAGATGAGCACAGGGGACCTGAAAGGTTTGGGAGAGATGTCAGCAGCTCTTCAGCCTGTGACAATTGCAACACAACTACAGCCAAGATTTCTTAATGTCCCTGTTTTGATACCCTCTCTCCAGGCAATACAAAAGAGTATTGCATGTGTTCTGACAGTGCTAAAAGGAGGTCACAGTAGTCTGAATTTGGTAGTAGCAGAGGAATTCTGGTTCAATAAAACACGTGTTTATTTCACATCTAGGCCCCAGACCTGTTGTGTTTCTTCAGCATGGGCTACTTGGTGATAGCAGCAACTGGGTCGAAAATCTGGCTAACAACAGCCTTGGCTTCATACTAGCAGATTCTGGCTATGATGTGTGGCTGGGAAACAGTCGGGGAACACGCTGTTCCCAAAGACACCAGCGTCTTTCCCCTGACCAGACTGAATTCTGGGATTTCAGGTAAGCTGGGATGGATTACAAAAGCTGGCAAACTCTCCTGTGTGTCACCCACCTCTAGGCAGAGGTGGATGCCTCCGCACAGGCAAGTCAGAGCATCTAGTCCCATGAATGGCCACCCCCAGGCCTGCCAGAGGAGCCTGAAGGCAGGGAGGCTGGAAGCACCTGTGCAGACCTGCCTGGTGACATGGTGCCAGTATCTCAGTGCAGACTCCATGGGTCTCCACCCTGCAGAATCCAGGACTGCCTGTGGATGTCCCAGACCAGTCCTCCTAGCAAGGTGCCTGCAAGCAGCAATCTCTCCCCCTCTTCTAGATGTAGTCCCCAGCGTAAAGGAGGGTGGGTTAGTGAAGGGGCCAAGATGATCTTAGAGGTATTTCCCAACCTCAACAATTTCAATGGTTCTATGATTGCTCTGAAATAGTCTGGGAAGTGAGTTTTCCTTCTACTCAGAAACAGTCTGAGGTAAGTAAGACATTTTAAGCTGCTACTGCCTGCCCAGCACTCGTCTCCAGACTTATAAATATGCTTGCAGTAGAATAGCTAAGGAACTGCATCTACACTTACACTCCATCATGCTAAAAGGCACATGAGCAGGACTCCCTGTCTCTGGCATCCTGATCTGCAGAGCCAGATCTTGATCTGCAGAGTTGTGCATTGCATCTGAAATGCTGTATTGTATTGATGGCCAGGTTCTGCAGATTCCTAGCAATGGTTATGGGAGGACTAAGCCTCCTCAATGGAGGATAAGGCCATGGCAGGAGAGATGACTTTGGACTGCATGTAGCATCACCCACCTTGGTCATGGGAACTTTCTGTTGGGAAACTACCTGCAGATGTCAAGCTCTTCTGTATATACCCTTGTAACTCATTCTCTGATCCTGTCTTGCAGCTTCCACGAAATGGCCATATATGACCTCCCAGCAATGATCAACTTTGTCCTGCAGAAAACTGGCCAGAAGCAGCTGTACTATGTGGGCTACTCTCAGGGTGCCACTATCGGTGTGTTAGAAGGCGTTGGGGCATCACCTTTCTCCATAAAACAGGGAAGGTGTTGCCTGGACCACCTCGAAAACATTCACTTTGCCATTTGTAAGCAGAAAGTGCAGGGAGGTCCTACATGTGTGAGCGACATGTGAAGCAGGCATGTTAGGACATCTCAAAGGTCCCTTGCAACACAACAGCAGTGCTCTCCCTAAAGGAGAAATGGGAGGACATGCATGTTCCTACAGTAGTAGGAAAGTGCTAGGTGACCACAGTCAGGTCCTGAAAAGCAAATTCCAGCCTGGAAAGAACACTGGGTTGCAGTGTTCCACACCAAACAAAAGTGCATTCTGCATGGAGTTCAAGGCTTGTGCACCCCAATCACAGTGCTTTTTTCCACCAGCTAGACCAACATGGGTATGAGGTGACCTAAGGGACAATGGAAGTAGACACTGGGAGGTGATACTACTGTTCTTGTCTCCTTGTGAAAGGGGCAGGATGTCCCACTAGTGTTAGTCATTAAAGTGCTTTGTCAGCCACAGGAATAAAAATGTCTCCTTCTGGCTAGCACTAACACTGAACAGAAAGTTCAGAAGCACAAATTCCAGATTCCTAATTCAGACTAATGTCAGCTAAACAGACATAGGCAGCAAGTCCATGCAAACCCTAAGCATCTGAACAAAATCCAACAAGTCTCAGATTGTTTTTCTGTTTTCTCAGCATTCATAGCATTTTCATCCATGCCAGAACTGGCTCAGAAAATCAAAACTTTTTTTGCCCTGGCTCCAGTAGTGACAATGAAGCACGTTAAAAGTCCTGTCTTGAAAATGTCGTTCCTTTTTAACGGAAAACCCGATATGCTTCAGGTATGAGATCCATCCCTACTCTAATCCCCTGAATGCTAGAAACAGGACATGGTTTCCAGGCCATCTGAAGCAGCAGAAAGCAGCTCATTGCCACAGATGTAATAGCCTGCGGAAGGGAAATGTAAGAAGCTACCTTCACCATTTGTTTCCCTAGATCCTACTGGGCAAGACAGATGCTTCACTGAGGATGAGGAAACTGTGGAGATTTCTTCCCAACCTGTGCAGGCACCCGCTCCTGCACAAGCCCTGTGCCAACCTATTTTTCCTGCTGGGTGGCTTCAATGAGAAGAACCTCAACATGGTGCGTCTATCCATCTGTCCAGCAGACTCAAAGCAAGGCTCTCAGCAAGGTCTGGAGGCCCACGAGTAGCTACCAAGGACTTGTGCATGGTCACTGGGCTGGGCTGGGTGTCCTTGAGGACCTGCTGAGCATGGGCTATGGGACAGCACCTTGCGGGGAGATTCCCGCATAGGGACAGCTGGTGTCCTTTCCTGGGGATTGGAGACTTTTGGTTTCAGGGAGGAAGGCTGCTCTTGGTGGTGGAAAGCCTAAAACTGCCGACCTACCAGTTGTCATCTACTAGCCCTGGAGGAAGTGAGGCTTGGTAGCGCATGGGGAACTCTGAGGCTAAATGTTGCTAACAGCTTGTTTCTTCTTCCAGAGTTGTATAACAGCAATTGATTTTTAATGGAATTTGTGTTTGTGAACCTGACCTAACTCTCTAGGCAGCACAACACAGCATAGGCTCCTGGAAAGCACAATCTGGCAAATATTGTCCCTGTTTCTATTCACCTGCAAGCAATGATATCTTGAGTATGTTTCCTTGCAGACCCGGCTAGATGTGTACACAGCCCACTATCCTGATGGTACGTCTGTCAAAAACATAATACACTGGACACAGGTATGTCCTCTGAATGGCCTCACCCCTTGGCTGGTCCCTGAACCTGGTGTCTCCACGTGTGAGAGAGCATGTGTTGATGCTAGCAACTTGTGAGGGAGGAAAGGGATAAAACAGAGCCTGCAGAAGGGGCTTTGGATACAGGCAGAGCTGCTCTGTTTCCCATTATTTGTTCTTTTTCACTGCACTGAGATGTGTGCATTGGGCTGCTCTGCTGGGAGCCAGCCCTTGAGAGTCTTTGAGGTATGGGACCCACCCTTGAAACCCAGTGGGTTGCAAGGGACCCACTGAGAAAACAGTGGCCCTGCCACATGTCCCGCTGCATGGTTATCCTTTCCACCCAGGTGAAGACATCAGGAGAGTTTAAAGCTTTCGACTACGGCAGCAAAAACCAAGCTGTGTACCACCAGGTAGGGGTTGCAGTGCTGGTGTCCAGAACACCTGCATCCAAACCCACAGCCAGGCTCACACTAAGCCTGTCCTGGGTGCTGTGGGGCTAGGTGAGATTTTAGGGTTTCCCAGATGATTCTCACATCCCTCCAGGAGAAACCTCCCTACTACCAGTTGGAGAAGATGCCTGTGCCCACAGCAGTGTGGTCAGGGGGTGAGGACTGGGTAGCTGACCAGAGGGACATCCTCCTGCTGCTGCCACGCATCACCCACCTCATCTCCTACATACACATCACTGATTGGAACCACTGGGACTTCATCTGGGGCCTGGACAGCCCTGAACGCCTCTACAGCTGCATCGTGGCTATGGTGAAAGGGTCCCAGTAGCACAAGGCCCAGCTCAGCAGTGCCCCGAGGAAGCAGGGGGGGATGTGATCGGTCCCCAATAGTGGTACACTGGGGATGGCTGAGCCAAATTCTTCTGGGCTGCATCAGGGGGTGCTGGGAGGGGCCCTGGCCCTGCTCATGGCTGGGGGCTCGAGTGGGGTGCGGAGAGCCCTCTTCACCAGGGCTGGGTCACGGTTCCTCTGCTGTGCAGTGGTGCTCTGCATGTTCCCACTCTGCTGAAAAACGTGCAAAAACACGGTGCTCCCTCCTCCTCAGCACCCCCCTTTCCCCCCCTCAAAAAAAACCCCACAAAACACAACAGAAATAAGAACTTGAAGGGGATTTTTTGTGCATTGCCGGAGCTCAGTGCTGAGGTGAGGGTTAAACAGCAGCACTGCCCGAGCTCAGCCCTGGGGGTGAAGGTTCAACAGCGGGGCGGCCCCACGAGATCCGGGGCGGCCCCGGAGGCGGGCGGACGCCATGGAGCGCGGCGGCGGCGGGCGGCGGGTGCTGGTGGTGGGTGCGGGGATGGCGGCGCTGGGGGCGGCGCAGCGGCTGCGGGGCACGGGCAGCGTGCGGCTGCTGGAAGCGGGAGGCCGCGTCGGGGGCCGCGTCTGCAGCCTCCCCTTCGGTAGGGAGCAGAGGGCGCGGGGTGCGGGGGTGGCAGCGGCCCCGGGGTGACGCCGCCTTCCTCCCGCAGCCTCGGGGCTGGCAGAGCTGGGCGCTCACTGGATCCACGGGCCCTCGGAAGGGAACCCCGTCTTCCGCCTGGCTTCCAGCTACGGCCTGCTGGGCCCCGGGGCCACCGAGGAGGAGAACCAGCGGGTGGAGGCCAAGGGACACCCGCTGCTGCCTGTCATCACCTACGGCAGCTCAGGGAAGGTGCTGAGCCCCGAGCTGGTGAACGGCACCCGCAGCCTCTTCAGCGAGCTGCTGGGCTCGGCCCAGGCTCTCGTGGGCAAGGAGGAGCTACCCGCCAGCAGCGTGGGGCAGTACATGCGGGCAGAGATCGCCCGGCTGGCCTCCGCCTGGGATGAGGACAAGGATGACAAGCAGCTGCGGCTGGCCGTCCTCAGTTCCTGCCTCAAGCTGGAGTGCTGCATCAGCGGCACCCACAGCATGGACACGGTGGCCTTGGGGTCCTTTGGGGAGTACACCTCGCTGCCCGGCCTGGATTGCACCTTCCCAGGGTGAGCAGGAGCACCGGGAACACCCTGGCAGTACGTGGCAGTAAAGGAAGCTGTCTCTGGTCCCATCCTCTCCTACAGTGGCTACAGCAGCCTGCCTGAGCGCATACTGGAGACCCTGCCCGAGGGCACTGTCCTGCTCAACAAACCAGTGAGGTCAATCCGGTGGCAGGGGTCCTTCCGCGAGGAGGGGGACACAGACAGGGACTTCCCTGTCCGGGTGGAGTGTGAGGATGGCGACTCTTTTCTCATTGACCATGTTATTGTCACCGTCCCACTGGGTGAGGCTGGAGGGGCTCTGCCCGACCACTGCATCACCCCACTGAGCCCCTGGGGCAAGTGGCCTGGTTGCAGTGGAAGGAAGCCACCTCACCTTCTCTCTGTAGGTTTCCTTAAGGAACGGCATCAGGACTTTTTCCAGCCTCCCCTGCCTCAGCGGAAGACAGAGGCTATTCACCGCCTGGGCTTTGGCACCAACAACAAGATCTTCCTGGAGTTTGAGCAGCCCTTCTGGGAGCCTGAGCAGCAGCTGCTGGAAGTAGTGTGGGAGGACGAATCACCTCTTACTGAGCCTAGTGCTGATCTGAAGGCCAACTGGTTCAAGAAGCTTGTTGGCTTTGTGGTCCTCCAGCCACCAGAGCAGTAGGTGGCCCAGTGCTTTGGCCCTACGCAGTGCTGGTTTGGGGGTCTTTCAGGGCGATGCGGTCTGGAGCAGGTAAGGCTCCTGGCTGTGCAACTCAGTCCCCACCTCCCATCGGGTGCTCCTTCTCCCCACCAGGCTTGGGCACGTCCTCTGTGGCTTCATCGCTGGCAAGGAGTCAGAGTACATGGAGACACTGAGCGACGCTGAAGTTCTCAGCACCATGACTCATGTCCTCCGCACACTGACAGGTACCTGATCCCCCACCTCCCCAACACCTCCATATGCAGGAAGAGGCCCAGCAGGCCGGGAGCTCTGTCCAACCCTGAGATGTGCCCCATGGCCCACAGGCAACCCGCACCTGCCCATGCCCTGCAGCGTGCTGCGCTCCTGCTGGCACAGCGCTCCCTACACACGTGGCTCCTACAGCTATGTGGCTGTCGGAAGCTCCGGGGAAGACATAGACATACTGGCACAGCCACTCCCCGAGGATGCATCTGACCCAAGGGTAAGGGCACGGAGGGTAATAGCATGGGACTTGGGACAGCTCCAGTGTGAGATGGGGTGTGCAGTAGCATGTGCCCAAGGAGCACAGACTCTGTGCAGGGTCACTTGGGTCCTCTGGTGTGGAATGGCGGGACAGGGTGGGGAACACCTCATCTCTTAAACTGAGGAGGCATGGCCCGCAGAATGCATCCCAGAGCCCTCCGGGCATGGGGCATTTCCCCAAGGTCTCTGTGTCCACTCAATGGGCCGGTGTGAAGGGACAGCCTCAGGCAAGCTGAGGGCACATGTTGCTGCGGGCGGGCCTGATGCTGCCCCCGGGCCTGACCCTCTCCCTGCAGCCGCTGCAGGTGCTGTTCGCGGGGGAGGCCACGCACCGCTCCTTCTACTCCACCACGCACGGCGCGCTGCTGTCCGGCTGGCGGGAGGCCGAACGCCTCAACCAGCTCCCGCGGGCCGTGGCCCGGTCGTAATAAAGGTTCCTTCCCCACAGAGTTCCGCCTGGTTTATTGCCCGCCGGCCGCTCATCCTCCGCGGACCGTCAGTACCAGTTGGTGCCGGCGATCACGAAGCGCGTGTCGTCCAGCGGGGCCGTCGCGGGGCCTGGCTTCGGGGCGGCGTCCGGGGGGGCCTGCGGGGCGGCAGGCGGCTGCGAAGGAGGCTGCGAGGGAGGCTGCGAAGGAGGCTGCGGAGCCACGGGGGGCGCGGCGGGCGCCGGGCCCAGACCCGCAGCTGAGCTCCGATGTTCCCCGCTGGGCCGCGGCTCCGCCATGACGCTGAGAAAGCGCTGTGTCAGGGCCGGGCTAGGCCACGCCCCCCGCCGCGACTGCATCCCCGCACTCACCTCCCAGCGCCGCTCCGCTTCCTCCTTCCGCTTCTCACGGCCGGAAGTGACGTACCGGAAGTGTCATGAAGCGCTGGGTGGGACCGCTGCGCGCCGCCGCCGCCGCCTCGGGGCCCTGCTCGGAGTCGGGCGGGTTCCGCACCCGCTTCGATTTTGGCAGCCGCGATGCGGCCTCCTGGTTCCCCGGGCACATGGCCAAAGGTGAGCGCCCGGTAGCGGCGGGGCGGGCCCTTCCGTCGGTGCGTCCGGCCGCTACGCTCAGCGGGCGTTGTGTTGCAGGGCTGCGGCAGATGCGGGCCTCCCTGCGGCGTGCCGACTGCCTCGTCGAGGTGCACGACGCTCGTATATCCTTAGACGCCGAGCCCTGCGCTGTGCCCCGCTGCCAAGTGCTTCCAGCTCCTAAGCCACTCGAGCAGCACCGGCACCCCGCACGGCATTCAGACTGCCTCCCGGCCTCCTGCTTTCTCCAGCACACGCTGTCTCCTTGCCGTACCGCCCTCCGGGTACCACGGGTGCCCCTGTTTTCCATAACGTCCCATACCAGTCCCCGACCCAGTTTTCCCTTACGTCTGTGCCTGCACATAGTCATTCACTCACTCTCTTTTGGTCCCTGTACCCATATTCATCTGTCCACGAGGTGGTCTGCTCTCAGCTCCATAACCCCCGAACCAGCCCCCATGCCCCTCTTTTTGCTATGATCTGCTCCAGCATGCAGTTGCTTCACCCCCCATTTAAGCCCTGCACCTGTGCTGTTAACTTGTTCCAAGCCTCTTCACACCACAAGCCACACCAGCCCCCCATTCTCCTGTTTTCCCTCATACCACAGTTCTCCTTAGCAGCTACACATCCCACTGTCAGGCCGTAACCCTGTGCTGCAGGAGGTGCTGGGCATCCGCCCGCATCTTCTGGTGCTGAACAAGATGGACCTGGCTGACCCACGCCAGCAGTCAGTGAGTGCTGGAGGCAGAGAGTGGGCTGGGACCTCACAGGGCTGCAGTGGGACCATACTAGTGAGCTTCTGTCCCCACAGAGAGTCCTGGAGCAACTGAGGCAGCAGGGATGCTCGCATGTTGTCTTCACTGATTGTCAGCGGGACAGCAATGTCAAGAAGGTACTGTGCTGCTGCTGTGTCCTCAGTTGGCCCTGAGACTGCAGTGAGAGCATCCTCCCCACTTCCCACAGATTGTGCCCCTGGTTGCCAAGCTAGTCAGCAGCAGCCCACGCTACCACCGGGCTGAGGTGAGGAGGGGCAGGGAGGCTGCAGCCTGGGTATGTCCTTTGGTGGAGCACAGCACCTGCATGTGTCCTTGCTTTCAGAGTACTGAGTACAGCATCATGGTGATTGGTGTGCCCAATGTAGGCAAGTCATCGCTTATCAACTCTTTGCGGAGGTTGCACCTCAAAAAGGGTACACCCAAGTTTCTGTAGCATTGGGAGGTTGCTGCTCCAGACATCACACACCACCCTCACTCTCTCCTTTTCCCCAAAGGAAAAGCCACAGCAGTGGGTGGTGAGCCAGGTATCACCAGGGCGGTGCTGACCCGGATCCAGGTACTATACCCCCTGTGGGTGCTGGTTGCAGTGTGTGGGCTTTCTCCCATGAAGCGCCTCATCACTTTGCAGCAAGGCCTTGGCTAAGAGCCCCTGCTGAGCCTGTGGTCTTGGTGGTGGGGCCGTAGGTGTGCGAGACTCCCCTGGTGTACCTGGTGGACACGCCAGGTGTGCTGCCTCCAAAGTTGGCCGATGTGGAGACGGGGATGAAGCTGGCATTGTGTGGTATGGGGCCATGGAGCCGGGCAGCCTGGGGCAGGCTGTGCGGAGAAAGCTGACAAGGCTGGGGGCTTCCCTCTGGCAGGAGCCATCCATGACCACTTGGTGGGTGAGGACATCATGGCTGACTACCTGCTGTACATACTGAACCAGCAGCAGCAGTTTGGGTGAGTGGGGAGCAGGGCATGGCTGGGGCACCCTGAGGTGCGGGTGGGAGCCGCATCCTCTCTGCAGATACATGGAGCGCTATGGACTGCCCGAGGCCAGTGACAACATTAGGCATGTGCTGAAGTACGTGGCAGTCACCCTGGGTAAGACGCAGAAGGTGAAGGTGCTGACAGGCACAGGTGAGCATGGGGTTTGGGGATCACTGGACTGTGGGCTCTGCTGAGGATTGTGGCGACCCCCTCTGTCCATTCTGCAGGGAATGTCAACATGATGATGCTCAACTACTCAGCTGCTGCCTATGAGTTCCTGCGGGCCTTCCGTGCTGGGCGCCTGGGTAGACTGACGTTGGACTGAGGGTCCTGGAATAGAGCAGGGCTTTCCACATCTCCCCCAGCTCCAGGTGGTGGCATGGTGTGATTAAAGCTGCTTTGTTCCTAGATGGGTCACGTCGTGATGGCTGCATTCCTCCCCGCTGGGACTGGTGGGAAAGGGAAGGGGGAGGCACAGCCTCTGGGGAAGCCCAAACCGTGCAGGTGCCACCTGTAGCCCCAAGTAAAACCACAGAGGCCTTGGTGCAGGTTGTTACAGCTATCCCTGTGCCTGCACCCAGTCCTTGCTTGGGCCGTGTCCAGCCACACGTGGCGTCACCCAGCTTTGTTTCCACATCGCTGTTGGATCGCTGAGGAACCCAGTGGTCCCAGTGGGTGCCATCAGTGGTGCAGGATAGCAGCAAGCGGACAAAGCCACGACATGGCCCAGCCCCATTCCACCTGTTCTGGTGCCACCGATGTCCAGGCTGTCCCATTGCCTTCGTGGTACTCCATCTCTGTCTGAGCCTGGTGTAGTGCAGCTCCAGCTGCTGCCCCAGCTGCTGCCCCAGCTGCTGCCGCCGCAGCCACACGCAGGGCCCCGCCATAGCGTGGCAGGCCCCTGTGCCGGCTGCGGGCAGCCCCCCGCGCCATGCCGCGTGCAGCCCCCCGGGAGCCCCCACGCCCGCCCTTGGCGGCGGCTGGTTGGCAGAAGGTGGCAGCAAGCAGTAGCAGCACCCAGCAGCAGGCCACACGCTGCCTCATCCTGCTGACCTGCACACAGGGAGGGCTCTGCTGTGGGCAGGTGCCCACCTCACTACGTGCATGCGCGATGCGTCTGCGTGCACCAGCCCCGGCCCTGTGCACGCACCCAGTGAATCTCTATGAGCACTGCACATGCCAGGGCCATGCACGCACTCTGGCTTACAGTGCACCCATAGATGGTGTGTGAGTGCAGTCACATCATGCATGGGCTGCAGACATCACATACACCAACACGGCCTGTACAGGCATGCAGGCAGCCATGAGGTCTTCCTATGCCTTGCACGTGCACCTATGTGTGGGATGCATGGTGCATGCATGCAGCCCTGGTCACAGCCTGCATGTGCATGGGTTGTGCGCATGCCACATGCACCAACACAGGGATTACACATACATGCCACATTCACAAAATGCATGTCGATTGCACAGACACATGGATTGCATGTGTCACATGCACCAACATGTGTGCTACATGCCCTGGTACCTGGGGTGCACAAGCACACAGTTTGCACATGTCTGCCTTATATGCCAACACATGCATTACATATCTTGCATAATACATGGATTGCACAAATATGTCGCATGCACCAACATATGTATTACATACACTGACACATGGATGGCATGTGTGTGTCACATACATCAACACACATGCCACACGCGCTGACACACGGGTTGCACAGACACGCATGAGCCACGGTGCTGTCACCAGCCCTGCACATGCACTTGCACCCGCAGTGCCCGCTCACACGCGCGGCGTCTCGCTGCACACACTGCACGTCCGTACGCGCTCCCCACTGTGCACGCCGCAGCCACAAGCACGAGCTCCGGCACACCCGTGCATGGCCAACGCGCGGCCGTACGCACCTCTCCGCGCGGGGGCCGCGCATCCGCGCAGCGATCCTCGACGCCTTCCGCTCCCACGTCCCGCGTGGGCGCCTTCCCTCCGCGCTCGCCGGCCCCGAGATGCCGCCCGCTCCTGTCCTCTCCTCTCCGCGCCGGGCGGTGGGCACGGGGCCGCGCTGCGCGCCCTCGGACGACGTGAAGCGCGGACACGCGTGGGGTGCGGCGGGGCGGGGCCCGCGTCGGCCAATGGCACAGGCGCGCTGCGGGGCGCCGGCAGCGCCGGCCAATGGGCGCGGGGCGGAGCGAGGCTGCGGGATGGCGGGGGCGTGGCCGCGCAGCTCCGCGCCGCGCAGCGAAATGGCGGCCTCGCTGCGCGCCCTCCTCCGTCCCGGTGCCGGTGTCGCGCGGCGCCGCGCGCTCCTGGCGGCACTCCGCCCTCTTGTGGCGGGGCGGGGGTGCAGCGACGGTGAGCGAAGGGTCGCTGTCAGCGGGCGCTGGGAGGGGAGCTCTGGGGGGGGGGGGGGGGGGGGGGGGGGGGGGGGGGGGGGGGGGGGGGGGGGGGGGGGGGAGAAGAAAGGGCACCGGGAGCCAGGCGCGGGCAGCGGGCTTGGGCCGTGCTCAGGACACCGGCACTGGGCGAAGGGCACGGGAGCCGCCCCCTCGGAGCGCGGAGCCCACCGCCCTCCCGGGTGAAGGTCGCCCCGTAATGGCGCGCGGTCACCTGGCCGCGCAGGGCCCCCGTTCCGCTTCCTGCAGGTGCAGAAGGCCGGGGCGGGCGGCAGCGTGGGGCTGATCCGGCTGCAGCGGCCCGAGGCGCTCAACGCGCTCTGTGCGGGGCTGATGGAGGAGCTGCGGCGTGCACTGGACGCCTTCGAGGCCGACAGGCAGGTGGGAGCAATTGTCATCACCGGCAGTGAGAAGGCCTTTGCAGGTACGACCCCGACTCCCTGTGGTCCCACCTCCCACCTCTGGGGATCCCAACGCAGCCCTTTGGGTTCAGCATAGGCGGTCCCCCTTGCAGCCGGCGCTGACATTAAAGAGATGCAGAACAAAACCTTCCAGGAGTGCTACAGTGGCGGCTTCCTGGCTGGCTGGGATCGGGTGGCCACCGTCCGCAAGCCCACCATCGCCGCCGTTAATGGCTTCGCTGTGAGTGCCCCTTCTGTGTCCCTGTGTCCTACGTCCGTGCTGCCCTTGTGCCGCAACCTCACTGTGCTTCCAGCTGGGCGGCGGCTGCGAACTGGCCATGATGTGCGACATCATCTATGCCGGGGAGAAGGCGCAGTTTGGGCAGCCCGAGATCCTGCTGGGGACGATCCCAGGTGAGCGTGGGGGCTGTGCGTCCCCAGCGGGTTGGTGGCGTCTGCGTGCCGGCTCCCGTGCCCACCGCCCCACCCCCAGGCGCCGGCGGAACGCAGAGGCTGACCAGGGCGGTGGGCAAGTCGCTGGCCATGGAGATGGTGCTGACTGGGGAGCGGATCTCGGCGACGGAGGCCAAAGCGGCAGGTAGGGGTGTGGGTGAGGCTGGGGGCACAGTGGGGACCTCCCCCACCACCTCCCTGCTTGCCCCCAGGTCTGGTCAGCAAAGTCTTCCCCACGGACAAGCTGCTGGACGCGGCCATTGGCTGCGCTGAGAAGATCGCTGCCAACTCCAAACTGGTGGTGGCTATGGCCAAGGAGTCTGTCAACACTGGTACAGGGTCGGGGTGGGGGTGAACTCAGGGATTTGGGAGGCTGAACGGTGTTCCCATCTCCTCGTCCCTCATCTTGTCCCATCTCCTCATCCCCATCTTTTCTCCATCTCCTTGTCCCTATCTCCAGCTTTTGAAACAACACTGACGGAAGGGAACAGGACAGAGAAGCGCCTCTTCTATGCCACTTTTGCCACTGTGAGTACAGGGCTGGCCCTGGACGCACAGGGAGGGTGGGGCTGTGGGACACCCCAGCTCATTCTCTGCCACCAGGACGACCGCAAGGAAGGGATGACTGCATTTGTGGAGAAGCGCAAGGCCAACTTCACTGACAGTTGAGCTGCAGAACCTGCAGACATTCCCCTTTGCTGCCCTTCACCACCCACGTGCCTCAAAATGAAGGACGGGTCTGTTGGCACCACAGAGGGAGCCAGCACCCGGCACTGAATGATGCCGACACTGGGCAAAATCCTCAGCAGGGTTTTGCCTCATTACTGCTATTAAAAGGCTTTCCTGGTGCTGCTGGTGCATCAACATTCTTGTTGGGAGCTCCCAAACTGAGAAGCACTGGAGATCACTGGGAGCCCTTCCCATGGGCTGAACTGGGGCCAGGGTGACAGGCTGAGCCCCCTGGCCTGCTGGACTCCTCTATTCCTGTCAGTAACCAGGCATCCACCAGGCTGCTCAACAAGGAGAGGTTTATTGGGGGCCCACGGGGAGGGCAGGGCTGCAGCCTCGCTCAGATGTGATAGAGGTGGTCACGGTCCTCCAAGGGGCCATTTTCCACTTCTGCAGACAGAACCAGGCGGTCTCTGCGAGACTGGAGCTCAGGCTCCACCTCAACTTTGGCTGAAGGGTGGTAGAGATGGTCGCGGTCCTGCTCTGGCCCCACCTGGACCCGAGCAGGGTCTGCAGGGAATAGAGGCCGTGAGGCAGTGTGCTTGGCAAGCTTGGCTTCCTCTGCCTCCCGTGGGGTCTGGATGCTGTAAGAGAGCAGAGGTGGCCCGTGGGGCAGCAGGTCATGAAAGCTGACCCTATGTTGTCAGTGCCTGCTGAGGGCTGAGTGAGTCCATTTGGATTTAAAGCATGGATTAGTGGACTCTTTGGGTGTTCATCTCACGAGTGGCACAGGCACCATGGCAGCACTGCTGCAAGGGAAGCAATAGCAGCTTTGAAGCAAGGCGAAGCAAAACCAGGGCCATGCAGCTTGGAGGGTTTGAGTGACGTGAGGAGAAATGCATGAGCAGGGAGCCCCTTAAATATTAGGAATTCAAAGCAGCAAGGATAATACATCCCCTTAAAGTGCCTAATCATAGAATCATAGAATCATAGAATGGCCTGGGTTGAAAAGGACCATAATGATCATTTAGTTTCAGGGTCACCAGCCACTAGACCAGGCTGCCCACTGATGTTTGCCCACTGCTTTCCCCAGCCCCATCCCAGCCACGGTGCAGCACTCAGCGGTGCAGCCAGTGTGGCTGTAGCCCCTCTTACATCTCCTTCGCCAGATTCTGCTCCACATCCACGTCCTGTCTGAGACTGCCGAGAGCCTGCAGCAGAGAAGGGCAAGGTGAGGGTTAGCCCTGTGCCCGGCCCCGGGCTACAGAGAGCTGTGGACTCACCTGGGTGCCTTCAGGGGCTAGCAGCAGGAGAGCTGCACCCAGCAGCACGGCTACACCGCACGGACCCATGGTGCCTCTGCCTGTGCACAGCCCTCGCCCCGCACTTTGCCCCTGGGTGTGGTGCAGCCACACGTGTCGTGTGGTTGCATGGGGGAGTGGTCATGCAGGTTCATGCAGGTGTGCCCCGACGTACACATGGTATACATACACCCTGCAGTGCACAGCAGCAGTCAAGTTAGCAGCTGCTGAGGGCTGTAGGTCTGTGAACTCGTTCCTCAACGCCAAAGAATCCAAACCAGGTCAGCTGAAGTAAGCAGTGAAAGGAGAGCAGCCGTACAGCGCCATCGCCATCGCATGGCTGAGCACCTGCTCAGCTGCTCTCAGTGGCTCTCCTGCCCCCTGTACTGGGCACAGCAGGGTTTCTCTCCAGCATGTTACCTTCAGCTCCTGCCTCTGAAGGAAAATGGATGGATTTGGTGCTTTCAGGTCACAGTTCCTTTGCTGAGCCATTTTTGCCCTGGGAGATGAGTCTTAACATGAGTGTTTCACAGCATGCAAAGGAGGGCTACAGAGATGGGGAAGGATCTGGAGGGCAGGAGGTGTGAGAGGCAGCTGAGGTCTGTCTGGCCCAGAGCAGAGGAGCTGAAGGGAGGCCTTGTGGCAGCTGCAGCTCCTCACAGGGAGTGCAGGGGCAGCGCTGAGCTCTGCTCTGTGTGACAGCGATGGCCGAAGGAACGGCAGGGAGCTGTGTCAGGGGAGGGCAGCTGGGGGTGAGGGAAAGGCTCTGCCCCAGAGGGCGGTGGGCATGGAACGGGCTGTGCAGGGCAGTGGGCACAGCCTGAGTGCTGGAGCTCAGGGAGTGTTTGAGCACTGCTCTCAGAGGCAGGGTTTGGGTGGTGCTGTGTGGAGCCCAGAGTTGGATTCAATAATCCCTGTGGGTCCATGCCATCTTAGGTTATCCTCTGATTATGTGATGTGATTCTACATCCCATGACAGAGAGTTCCTCCCCAGCATTCCTATAGCCCCTTTGGATACTAGAAGGCCACTCTAAGGTCTTTTCCATGCTTTCTCTTCAGGCTGAATACCCCAGCTCTAGGCCTGTCTCCTTAGCAGAGGTGCCCCAGCCCTCTGAATGTCCTTGTGGCTTGCTCTGGATCCACTCCAACATTTCCATGTCTTTCTGATGTGGCTCTGGTGATGGCACCCTACAGGCCTGACATCCCATCTCATTGCATCCCACTTGCTCCATCCCTGCCCTCCATCTGCTGTTCCTCCCGGCCCAGCCCTGCAGCCACGCTTTTCTCCATCATGTCCGTCATCTGCCTTTCCAACATCACCATGCAGTGGCGATGGCGCTGCATGGCTGCTCTCCTTTCACTGCTTATTTCAGCTGACCTGGTTTGGATCCACACTTTTCTGCTGCCCTCCGTCCCTCCACCCCAGCACCTGCAATGCCCATTGTCACCAGATCTGTTAGCCTGGGGTTGGTCTCTCTGCAGGCTGAGGAGCAAGGTGGACTAACCAGCTGTTTTAAACAGAATGAGGTATTTTAAACTCGCATAGAAAGCTGTAGAAGTTGCTCCCTGCTCATATTGGCAAGGATTTTTCAAAGCCTCTTTTATCCTCTATTCCTTCTGGTGAGGAGGGAGGGAAAAGAAGCAATTACAAATCCTTAGCTTCTTGGATAAATGCCATACTAACAGCCTGTGATTCCATTTTTTTTCTTTGTGGACCATTTACTGAATGTCACAGTTTAAAGAGACTACAGGCACAGGAGGCTGTGAGCTCTGTGATTTAACTCTCTGTGGTGGGAACATAAGGAAAATGGTACGTGTGCCTCAGGTGGAGCTTTCCCCCCAGGAGACTAGGGCTAAACAGGAAGGGAGGCACAAGGGGATACACCCTCCTTTGTCAATTGACTTGGGGGTATTTGGGGAAAATCTCAAAGACTCATTCCATCTGCCTGGCTCCACCTACATCTCCAGGCAGCAGCTGATGAGACAAAGAAATCAACAGCAGAGAGGCAGAAAAATGCAGAAAAATTTATTTCCAGTTTGATTTCAGGGGAAATCAGAGAGAAGAACTTTTGTGTCTAATGGAGAATAAATACAAGCGAGGCTCTTCTCTGAATTCCTGCCAAAGAGATGTGATACACAGACACAAGCGACTGTGGCAAAGCACCTCCTGAGGCATTTAGATATTCCAAACCCCACCACCCCTCTTTTCTCCTTTTCACTTTCCCATTATGGAGCAGATCCTTGCACGCAACAGCAAACATTCTTGCTTGGACACAGTGGCTTCGATAACAATTGCTGGTGTCTTTTTGTCTTGCGCAAATCTACTGTGCTGACATTCAGACTTTCTTACGTGGGCCTTTAAATCCTCGGGCGGCACCCTGTCCGAAGCAGATTGTGGATGGGATCCTGGAACAGAGATGCCAGTTAACATGCATTTGTGAGATCTTTGCCCTCTGTTATCACAGAAGTCCTGCCGTGACCAGTCAACTAGCAGCAATACTCATGCTTTAAAAGACAAAGCTGACTTAGCCTAGGAATGCAAGGCAATGGTGTTGGAGGTAAAAGAGTAATCTTTTGGGGAACTTGATACCAATACAAAATTGACTAATCTCTCCAAGATACAAGCTGCAAGTGCAAAGGTCTGGCCGCACACCAATTTGCTTGGACAAGCTCTCTGCATCGGCCCATTTCCCAACACACACCCCACCATCGCTTAGCACCCCACCACCTATAGGAACACTGGGATGTTTTACACCTTGCATAGTTCCAGGCTCCCAGAGTCTAAATCACCAATGCCAATTCAAAATACAGGTGAAATGCTGGTCGTCTTTTCCACTGATGGGGCACATTTATGTGCTGGACGCCTCTCATCTCTCTTCACAATGGGGAAAACATAACATGCTGCTGGGAAGTTACAGTGTTATTTTTGCAAAAGTGTATGATTGCAGAGAAGAAGCAAGAGAAGTGTGGCCTTTCAGCAACCAGGAGGGTCATGTCAAATTTAAGACAACATTTCTTAATGGCATATAAACTGTTACTCTTGAAAAAGCAGTCAAGTTTAAAATGTCACCTTGGCAGCTGCTTGGCATTACTGAAACCCCATGGACAAATAGAGGGGCAGGTTTCTGTTGGATGGACTATGTTGGCATCTCAGGCGTGACAAACTCAAAGTACAAGCTTCCCTTTGCCAACTGGGATAGTTCAAGAAAAAACACGATATGCTTAGAGGCCATTAAAGTGATCAATAAATGACAATGATTCAGGTGCTGCTTCAGAAACTTTTTGATCACATACTACCTCGTACAGGTTTTATGGTACATGATGAAGAGGACTTCATAAGTGAAGCCAGCATCAGGCAATTTGTTTTCAACTTTTCTAAAAAAATCAGAAAGCATAGCAATGCTGACCTGACTTTGCAAAATGTATGATCCAGAATAAGGCGTTGACCTGCTTTGCTTGTGTCTTGTCCTGTGACCCCATGGGAGCACAGGAAGCTGCAGTCAGTTTCCTGGGAAAGTCAGCTAGGATGGCAAAATTTTACAAAGCAGGATACACACGTGTTTGTGTTTGGGGGCTTGGACTCCAACAGCTTATCTTCAGACCAATATCACTCTGCAGTATCCTGGGAACATAGCAGGGGCTGGCAGAGCAACAGCAACAACGTGCTGACAAAGCTTTGCAGTATATGCTCGCTCTCTTTTTCTTCATGCTTTCTTCTATTTTAAAAGGGCTTTTCAAAAATAAGTAGAAATATCACCTCTTCTATCCCCAGCACAAAACACCCAGAGTGGTATTGCACTATGCAATTAAGACAATATGATCCCAGTCCCAGAAACTGTTGCCTGTGCAGGCATTTGACTCAGACCTGGATTTATAGAGACGTTTCTCTGGTACTGAAGGGCTGGCTGCAGGCTGAGGGACCTCCATGCTCTCACTGGGCACTACTTCCATGTGGTCTGCCTGGAGTTGCTCTGAGGTCTCCACACTGACATCCATCAGCATGCTCCCATCGTGTTCTGTGGGACAGCTCACGTGCTTGGCACCACTGCGGAAACAAAATGTGACATCCTTTCTCAGCAGCTGACGTGAGCATGGAGCAAAGGAAATGAAAGGGATTTTAAAGAGGTCACATCAGGCCTGGGTAAGTTACTGCATGAAAGAGGCACCGAGATTTGGCTGCACAAAGCACCTGCTGCTGGGCAAAAGCTGATGGAGAGATAAGCAAAAGTATTCAGTGTTACCGCATTATAGCACACAGCTTAGTTCCTAAATGTCACTCTTCAAACCATAACACTTAATGCATGAATGGGCTCCCAAATGAGGCTGGACAGCATCTCCAGTCCAGCCCTCTGCTGTAGATAGGTGATGGTACAAACAGGTTATCTGAGCAAGCTCTGGGACTCCCAGTCCCTCTGTACCTGTACCAGTTACCTGTAGTAGGGCTGCACCACTTCACCAGGCAAGGAATTTTCTCACCATCCCATCCTCAATGTCACTGAAGAATGTTAAACATCAGTGCCTGTATTTTCTGTCATGATCTGGTTATATCAGTATTCCATACCATGACATTTTAGCAAGTCTCAGGTGAGTTCTGACTCTCCAAGAAGACGACACACTGAGATGTACTACAGTTCCAAGAGCTTCCACACGTTCCCCAATTCTGGGTAATGGGGAGTGAAAGGGCTTCTGGGTGCCGGCAGTGCAGCAAGCAGCACAGTCATTGCCTTCTTCTCGTTTCCATAATATATTTATATATTATATATATCCAATAATATTTCTTATTATTATCTTACATTCTTTTACCGTTTGTAGTAAATTTGTTATCTCTCCTTATCTTAATTGAGTTGTTTTTCTTTCTTTCTTCCCGGAAGAGGAGAAAGGGACCCCTTGCCCTGTTGCACTTGAAATGATGAGTTTATAGCAAAAGCAGTGCTTGGATAAAACAGTACAGGAGAGACATGAACCTGCTGGAGTGCGACCAGAGGAGGGCCACACAAATAATCCAAGGGATGGAACACCTCCCCTATCAGGACAAACTGAGGGCTGGGGCTGTTCAGCCTGGAGAAGAAAAGGCACTGGGGAGACCTGAGAGTGGCCTGTCAGTATCGAAAGGGGGCTGTACGAAATAAGGAGGTACACTTTTTAGCAGGGTCTGTGTGATAGGACAAGGGGACAGTGTTGTGATGGGACAATGGTTTCAAACTAAAATAGGGAAGATTTAGATCACATAGAAGGAAAAAGCTTTTTTACAATAAAGGTACTGAAGCACTGTTACAAGTTGCCTGGTAAGGTGGTGGTATCTCACCAGTGGAGACATTCAAGGCCACGCCGGATGAGGCTCTGAACACGTGATGGAGCTGTAGGTGTCCCAGTTCACTGCAGAGGAATTGGACCAGATGGCCCTTAAAGGTCCTTTCCTATTCAGATGATTCTATGACATGACTCTATGAATGAGTGACCAAAAGAGAAAGCTATCTGCCAGGTTTACAAAGCCTCCTTATGCTCTACTCATGCTTTTTGGGAGTAGGAATATTGCAAAGACTTGAAAAGAAAGCAGGAAAAATGCACACTGACAGAGAGAAGTGCTGGACTTGAAACAGCACAGAGGGAGAGAATGAAGACACACTAGGGGAAGGCAAAACATTGTCACATGAAGTCCCACAAACTTCACAGTTGGGCTCTTAAGACAGCAACTTGTGTTCTCTAGAAAGGAGTGGGACAGCAGAGAAGCATAATGTCACTTCTGCATGGAAAAAGCAGCCATGCTGCTGCCGTTCTGCAGTTACCTCCTCACTTTCTTTGGTCTATCGAATCGGAAATCAGCAGGGTACAAGTGAACAGTGACCAAGTGATCCTTCCTGTCTTTGCTGCTCTTGAACTTCTCCGCACAGCCTTCTACCAAGCACTTGTACTGAAAGAAAGGAAAGAAGACACCCCCTGGGAAGGGCGAACGGCCGGTCTGTGCGGCAGCAGGGGCCCAGCTGTGCGCTCACCATATTCTGCTTCTCAGCCATGATCTGGAAGAGCGAGTCGTGCCACTCGGAGATGTGGATGTCCAGCAGGTGCCCCGAGGGGAAGGACCGCCTGCAGAAGGAGCAGACGCTCCGGTGCAGCGCGTTGTAGTGGTGCTCATAGCCCTCCAGTGTGTCGAACACCTGAGAGCAGCCGGAGATGTGGCAGCAAAACTCAGACACCCTGTAAGGGAAGGACAGCACGTTACGGCATCCTCAGCGTGTACGGGATTATACGTTCAAGCCTTATTAGAGGGCTCTGCCCCGCGGGCGCTGGGCACGGCACAGGCTGTCCAGGCTCCAGGCTGCCGGAGCTCAGGGAGCGCCTGGACGCAGCTCTCTGACGAAGGTTTGAGGCCCTGTGAGTGCCCAGGGGCGGCCCACCCGCCCCAGCAGCGCCGGGGGCCCGCCGAGCCCTCCCCCCGCGCGGCTCACCTGGGCCTCTCCGCCTCCTCGGCGCGGCCCGTGAGGGCCTCCCGCAGGTACAGGTGCCTCTGCACGTCGCCATCCTGCAGCGGGGGGATAGGAAGCCGTGGCGCAGCCGCGGGACAGCCCTGCCGCCGCGCCGCCCGCCTCGCCGCGCCGCGCCTCACCTCGAGCAGCGGGTGCTGCGGGCCCAGGCGCAGGCGGCGCGGGGAGAAAGCGAAGGGCGGCCGCGGCGGGGCCGGGGCGGGCGGCGGGACGGGGGGCAGCGGCGGGCGATCCCGCAAGCGGCGGCGGAGGACGGACAGCGGCATGGGCCGGGCCGGGGCCGCGCAGGCGCCCGCAGCGCTTCCGAGCGGCCGCGGCGGAGACTTCCGGGCGGGTAGGAGGGACGGGAGCGGGTCGGGCCGGCGGGGAGCCGCGGGAGGGCGGCGAGGGGAGGGGAGGGGAGGGGGGGGGCCCGGTCCCGCTCTCTGGGTCGGCTTTGGGCCCGCGGCGCTGCCTGCAGGGAGCCGCCCGGAACGAGCCCGGCGTTGTGTTTGCAGCGCCGTGCTTCTGATACGCACAGCAGGCCGCGGCGGGCGCTCGGTGCGAGCCCCTCGGCTCCTGGCTTCCAGCCTGCGGATCTCGCTGCTGGGAGTGCGGCGGGCGTCCTTACAGCCCGCACAGCGGCTTCTTCAGCCCGTCACCCCTTGGGCCAGCGCTCCCCTCGGAGACCTGTCCGCTAACGTGGTGCCTGGAAGGCAAAGCCCTGCTGCTCTCTACGCTTAGACTGAGTGCAGCAGGGCAGAAGAAGGCAGGATGAGGAGCTTTTCTTGCAGCTCCCCTTATGCAAGTTTCTTTGTTCCCATCCAATGTCTCAGCACACCCCGCGGGCTTGCAGCGCAGCCGGGAAGGTCTATAAATATCTAAGGTGTGGGGGGCAGAGTGGCGAGGCCAGACTCTTTTCAGCGGTATGTGGAGACAGGACAAGGGGAAATGGCGGAAAACTGGAGCATAGGAAGTTCCACACAAATGTGCACAAGAACTTCTTTAGGTGAGGTGACGGAGCACTGGAACAGGCTGCCCAGGGAGGTGGTGGAGTCTCCTTCTCTGGTGATATTCAAGACCCGCCTGGACACCTACCTGTGCGACCTGGTGTAGGGAACCTGCTTTGGCAGGGGGGTTGGACTCGATGATCTCTGCAGGTCCCTTCCAACCCCCAAGATTCTGTGATTCTGTGGGAAGCGTTATTCTCGTTCTTAAACCAAAACACTAACTTGACTCTCTGCCTTTCTTCCTGTGTCCTGCGCAGCGGTGTGTCGGTTTTCTCACTCACAGCATGAATGAGTTCCGCATCCACCACGATGTCAATGAGCTGCTCAGCCTGCTGCGTGTGCATGGTGGTGAGGGGGCTGAGGTGTATATCGACCTGCTGCAGAAGAACCGCACGCCCTACGTCACCACCTCTGTGTCTGCACACAGCGCTAAGGTGGGCCAGAAGGGTGGCATTGCAGCGAGCTCTGCTTGGGGCCTCGCCGGCAGGTGTTGAGCTTCCTTTGCCAGAGCTGGTACAAGCGCTGTACCTGTGACGTGTGTTCATTTTGGGGGAAGTGTTAAAAGGAGCTCATTTTGTGCCTGGCGTGGTTGGTTCAATTTTTAATTAGAGGAGTTATCCACTGGAGAAGTAGAACAGATGAAAAATAGTAGCTGCGTGATTAAATGTCATTATATTCACTCTCAGTAAGTTTGCAGATAACACCAAGTTGGGAGGAAGTGTCAATCTGCCTGAGGGTAGTAAGATGTACAGAAGGATCTGGGCAGGCTGGATCACTGGGTTGAGGCCTACCGTATGAGCTTTAGGCCAGGTGCTGGGTCCTGGGCAGAGTGGCTGGTAAGCTGGGTGGAAGTAAATGATCTGGGGATGTTAGTTGACAGTCAGGTGAACACTGAGCCAGCAGTGTGCTTAGGTGACTAAGAAGGCCAGTGGCATCCTGAAACAGTGGTATCAGAAACAGTCTAGTCAGCTGGATTGGGGAGGTCATCGTCCCTCTGTAATTGAAACTGGTGAGGCTGCACCTCAATGCTGTGTTCAGTTTTGGACCCCTCATTACAAGAAAGACATTGAGGCCCTGGAGTGTATCCAGAGAAGGGCAACAGAGCTGTGAGGGGTCTGGAGGATTTAGTCTTATGGGAGCAGCTGAGGAAAATGGAATTGTTTAGCCTCAAGAGGAGGCTCAGGGAGACCTTATTGCTCTACAGCTCCCTGGAAGGAAGTTCTGGGAAGGTGGATCTTGGCTTCTGCTTCCAGATAATAGCAAAAGGATGAGGTAATGGCTTTAAGTTGTGGCGGGGAAGTTCAGGTTGGATATAAAGAGAAACTTCTTCTCAGAATGAGTGCTAAGTTATTGGAACTGGCTGCCCAGGGAGGTGGTAGAATCACCATCCCTGAAGGTGTTCAAGAAACGTGGGAATGTGGCACTGAGAGACATGGTTTAGTGGGCATTAATGGTGGCAATGAGTTAATGACTGGATAAGGTGATCTTAGATGTCTTTTTCCAACCTTTATAATTCTTTGAACAATATCTGGCTTTTTTTTTTTTTTTCTTTGAATATCATCCAAGATGTCTGGGATTTAAAGCCTGATACCCTCATGACTAGATGTATTTCTGTGGCCATAATACTGCTTTTCATTGCTGCCTTCCAAATCAGTCCACCTTAATTACCAGTGTGAGGCCAATGCTGCATTGTTCAGTCCAGAACCCTGAAGTGCTCTGCTGGCAGCAGCGGTCTCCATCTTGTCTCATTCCTTGTACAATGCTCTGCTCTGGAATGTTGGAATAATAATATGCCTTAAACATTAAATATTCATGTGGTCTTTTACAGGTAAAAATAGCAGAGTTTTCTAGAACTCCTGAAGATTTTTTAAAGAAATATGACGAGCTGAAGTCTAAAAATACAAGACATCTAGATTCTTTGGTGTACTTACTGTCAAAGCTCACAGAAGACAAAGAGGTTTGTTTCTGTGTTAGAACTGAGCATGTTATAACTACTTGGCAGTAGCATCAATGCAGTGATTTAAATATGCACACTATCAGATGATAATATTAATTGGAATGCATTGAAGTCAACAGAAAGCATTCAGATCTAGCATTTACTTAAATTTTTAAGCACTGGTGAGAATTACACCACTTTTGATTTAGACCACTGTAAGATGTGAGACTGGGACAGAAATACCTGTGATCTGAGCAGCACACCTGTCTTATGGGCAGACGTGTTTTGCTGCAGTGTGTGCTGACCAGTGTTCACAAAATCTCTTTTGTGTATATACAGACACTCCAGTATTTGCAACAAAATGCTAAAGAAAGAGCGGAACTTACAGCAAACATGGCAGCTGGTGGCAGCACAAATTTCTCCATTCCCTCGTCTACATCCAAGATATCTCTGCAGGAACTTGAGGAGTTGCGCAAGCAGCTTGGCACTGTCACAGCCAACTCCAGCGCACAGCAGGTACTGCTTCTTCCCTCACCTTACATGTAAGATTTTTCCCTGCTGTTCATATGTAGCTGTGATCTTAACTTTTGCTATGTAGGGGAATTACAGATATTCCTATCCATGCAGATAATCTAAATTTGCTCTCAAAATGGCGCTTGTCAAATTATATTAAATCATTGTGCTGTTCTTCATAAAAGTGGCCTTTTCCATTGAAGTCAGGTAAGGGGAGTTGAGTTTAGGCCACAGCAGTTCTCACTGCGGCGTAGTGATGTGATTTCATTTTCCTGTTTCAAACCACGTCCTTAACCCACGCAGATGTTTCCTTTTCTGCCTGCAGCAGTGCTTGCTCAGCAACCTTTATGGCTCATTCTGTCCTTGCTGAAAGCTCTGTTCTCCAGGATGTGTGAGTGCAGTGCCTTGTAAAATTGTTCCCCAAGTAGACAACCATTTTGTCTATTACACTATTGGAATTAGTGTTCTTGAAATAAGTGCTGCAAAATCATTGTTAGGCAGTGATGGGGCTACACTGGTATACTGTGCATATTGGGTTTTTTGCTTGTCTCATTCAAATCCTTCATGGAAGATCGGAGTCAAGCAGTTGATTTAGATCCTGAAAGGGAGATTAATGTCCAGTAGGAGAAGAGATCTTTTAAATAGGATTTATGTATGACTCAAAGAAGAGAGAAGAGGAAGTGGTGTTCTCTGGGATGTTCAAATACAAATTGATTTCCATGCATACTTTTGCTTTGAGGCACAGTTTTGCCTGCAGCCAAAGGAACTGAAATGGCAGCACAAGCCAGCGAGAACAAAGATGCAAAGCTTATGTGCACTTGTTTCCTTCCCACATTCCTCTCACCTCTGAGACCTTCAATGAGAAGAAAATAAAATGACCCTGTGCATATTCCATTTCATATACATAAGGAGCTTAAGAAATGGCGTTCATAAGCATGTCCCCCCTGTTTTTGCACTTGTGGCAGTTTATTTACATCACATAGACCTCTCCAGCTGAATATTAGTCTTTCACCATATTTATTTTACTGATAAAGATCCAGTGCCAGGAATGGAGACTGTTATGGTCTTGTAAAAGCTCACTTCCTTCACAATCAGAGCAAAATCACTGTCATTTTCCACCAGTGTATTATCTGATGGCATTTCATGTGCACCTACTTTTTGGGCAGTGTGCAGAAACTGATTTCAGAAGTGGTCATTAGCCTGTTTGTTTACAAGTGCTCCTTGGATAAGATGTTGCTGCTTTTTCCTTCTGGAAGTAATTTGATGGCTTTTACATGGTGCAGTTTACAAACTAGTCAGGTGACTGGTGCTTGTATGCATCCTGGTTTTGCTCCTATGTGTATGCCACAGCACCAAGGCTTGTGGGAGAGGTATGACAAGGCATTGTTTGATGCGTCCTCCAATAAAAAGATGGCCAACTATATAATAAGTCTGAGACTAGTAGCCTGGATGAAACTGAGAGACTAAAACCTACACTGTTCTACTGAAATATCAATTATTCCACTTCCTGTTTTCAAATTATTGGCTTATAGTAAATTTCTGCTTAAAACTGAAAAATTGTTGCCCTTCCAAGCAATCTCTCTTTCTTCATTCTTTTTTCTTTTTTTTTTCTTTTTTTTTCTTTTTTTTTTTTTTTTTTTTTTTTTTTTTTTTTTTCTTCTTTTTTTTTTTTCATCAGCCTCTTGAGCTTACACGAAAAATGCTCCGAGATAAACAAAACAAGAAGAATTCAGGTCAGCCTGTTCCAGTGTTTCCATCCTGGGTGTATGAGAGGCCTGCGCTTATTGGCGATTTCTTAATTGGCACTGCTCTAAGTACTGACGTAACGGTACCTATAGGTATGTGATGCATAGTGAAAATTATGTTAACATGATATGTTTTGTACTTGTTCAGAAGTGCCGTTCAGATTCTGTCATAGTTAGGATGAAAGCAAAACTTGCTCCTTGAAATCTGTGGAAAGAACAGGGTTCAAAAAAAAACAAACCAACAACACCCAGCCAGACGTATTTTCTTCAAAGTGTTTCTCCTGTGCTAAATTCCAACTCCACCGTTAGTCCATAAGATCTAATCTGCTTTGAGTTTCTCAGTCCTTCTTTCACAAAATATACTGCAGGAGCATCCTATCTGCATTCTCAGCTGAAAAATCTGCAGTTGCTCCTTTTGGGGAGCATTCATCAATCCATGTATCTCATTCTCCTCTCCACTAAGGCTGTGACAACCTTCCTGATTTGCTCCTACTCAGAGCAATAGGGGACTGATCTCACTCTTTTGTATTATAGCTTTAGACTGAGCTGTGTATAGTTTGTGATTTGTAAATTAGATTAAAGAAGGGCAACAGTTGTGCTAGAGGTTCATGTTTCTATTCCCCAAGAAGGTAGATGCACCTGCAGGAATCCTGTAGCCTCTTCCTGGCATGGATTTGTGCCTTGTCTAAGGGGCACATAAAAGTAGAGATCACAAGTAGTTTCATTCTTGAGTGTTTCCCTGTTGTGAAAGGGTTTGTTTAGCTGTATGGGAATTTTAAGCATGTCTGATGCTTACATGTACAGTCCATGTTTTTTTTCTAGGTTTTTTGAATCACATGACAGAGATTCTCAGTCGCATTTCAGATAAATGCTTTTTTTTTTTTGCTTTTTTTCCTCTAGGGATTAACAAATTCTGTAGTGCCCAGAAATCACTGGTAAGATCAGACACCTCTCAACACTGTTTAACGCTGCACCAGCACATACAGTCCTACAACGGAGAGGGATTGTTAGCTGGTTTTGTGAGATAAGACTAGCTGTAGTGAACACTGTAGCCGTCCTGGTCCCCAACCTTTTGATGCACTTCATTATATTTCAGTTTGAGTCCCTTGTACTTCTTCGTATCTGATTTCCAGTTCATTGCATCATTCAGAGACCCTATAGCTTGCAGTTCACCTGTAGCTTTGGCTGGAGTAGCGTTTTGTTGTGTGTATTTGAGTTTTATTCTTTGTATTTGAGTATTTCAGTGGAGGGGAGGTAGGCAATTGTTGGCAAACTCAGGTCCAGTGTAACTGAGCCCATTTGGTTGGAAGAGTGGACAGTGCAAGTGATGTTTTCTTGGCCATGGTTCTCTGTTCACTTGATTTGGGTTTAAATGGTGAGCAAAGGCTTCTATTTTCCTGGACAGCAGGACAGGCTTAAGATTTTGGAGTTGACTGTAACTCAGTTTTATTTCTCTGTATCTTGGTTCAGCTTTGTATGATCTTCCTTTGTTCTCTCTGAATGGTAGTATGTCATCCTTTTAGGCTTCAGGTGCTAGATCATGAACGGAAGATCCAGGCATACTGCAGCATGTTCTGGTTATGTTCTTTTCTGATGTCTCTTTGAAAACAGGTACTCTGCCATTAGCATCCCAAGAATCCATGATTGTGGAGGACTTGCTGTATGTTTTGATTGGTGTGGATGGAAGATACATCACAGCACAGCCTCTCATTGGCAGGCAGAACCGAGCATTTTTAGTTGATCCAAACTTGGACTTGTCCATCAAAGAGCTGGTGACCAGGATTCTTCCCGTAGCAGCAAGTTACTCTGCTGTCACCAGGTACAGAGCTGTCATTTCCTTCCAGTGGACGATATTTTCCTTCAAGCATTGAGCTGCAGAATATGGAATCTGTCATTTTGCATATGACAACTTCCAAGCTAAATTTAAACCTGTAGGGGTATAAAATAAAAAGAGACCATTTATTTGAAATAGCTTTGGCTACATATGATTTTGCTGGCATTCTCCTATGTGGTGCCACTTCGCATTTTCCTTCACCTTGCCTTTGCTTTGTCCAACATCTGACTTAGCACAGGCAAAGTTAAAATGTGCCTGCTTATTGTGGCTTGTCTTTTCCCACTTTGCTATGATTTTCTCCCTCCGTTCTGCTTTTTGCTCTCCTCTGGGCATCCAGGACTAAGACAACCCTTGTGTCTGCTGCTGCCCAGGAGAGTCTACAGCTTCCTAGTTTCTGGTGGCTATCTAAATAATTGTTGAAAGGTCTTAGTGTAAGGTACACCTCACTAACAGCAGAAGTTTGTAATATGGATGCTGCATTTGATTTGATGTCCCCAGAAAATCAGCAAAGAGGAAGAAGCACTTTGAGGAGGTGATTTGTCCAGTCTTTTTTGCTGACTGATTCCAGGTGATATGACTTGCATTCAGAAGCCTCTGTCCACTAAATAAGATACATGGAGCCAGCTAAGACAGATCAGGTGAATCATTAGTCAGAAGCTAGTAGCAGTGCTTTCCATGTGTTTGGTTCCATGATATTGTGTCCTTTTGAGACCTTCTCCTGTCCTCTAGTCCTAATCATAAGGTTGTGCAAAGGCAATTGCCTTGAAAATACTGGCACTCGCTTTTTTTTATAGTGGATTTGCAAGTAATTCTAGATCCCCTGCAATTTAGAAGGAAATCTTTTCCCACAGCTTTCTGTACTAAGAAGTGTGGTGTTGAGAAGTAGACAGGGGCCAGAAAGCAAATGTTGAACCTAAAACTTAGCTGAAAACCAGTACATTTTCCAATGCAGTGTCTACTCTTGTGCTTCTATAGTGTCTGAAATCAAAATTCCTGAAAATGTTGGGAATTACCTTGTCTAAAAGAGATTCCGTTTTGCATTTTACAGATTTATAGAGGAGAAGTCTTCCTTTGAGTATGGACAGGTAAATCATGCGCTGGCTGCTGCTATGCGGACTCTGATCAAGGAATACATGATACTAATTACCCAGCTGGAACATCTTCAGAGACAGGGACTTCTCTCGCTGCAGAAGCTCTGGTTTTATATCCAGCCCACAATGAGGACCCTAGAGATTCTTTCTTCACTTGGTAAATTTAAAAAATACAGTCATTATGTTTAGACAGGCACATGACAGTGGCTTCTGAAAACTAGACAAATCAACAATACAGACAGGGAATGTGTTATAATAAATAAGAGGGACTAAGAGGAGAATTGTACTTGTCAGACCTCTGCCATTTTTGAGAGCAGTAGGTCCTCTGAATCATGCCCTGTTGTTATTATACCTCAGAATAAAAGTATTGTGTTGTGTGAAGAGGCACAGTATAACCCATTTGAAAACATATGTGGCATGCACATCCCACAGGAGTGCCTCCTGTTAGATAACTGCTCATACAGAAGTGGAGTGGTTTGCAGCCCTTTCATTAATACCATTTTAATGGCTTCATTTTCTCACTTCCTTGTATTGGTTCCTCAGTAGTTTTGCTTACATTAAACTCTTTGGCATGAGGATACTTTTGCCTTTCTTCTCTCTGCAGCCCAGAAAATTTATCTGGACACAAAAATCTGTTCTATATAGAATCTGAAAATGGATGATCCGTCTTGGTATTTATTTCTCCTGAAATATTCACATTTTTGGAACACTACAGTTAGCCATCTGCTTTAAGATTTACTTCAGTCTCAAACTCATGACACTACTGTATTCCTCTTCCTCTGTTCCTTATATCCCTTTTGCCATGCAAAGTGTGAATTTTACTGTGAACCTACCTAAGTCCAGGTGTTTCAAGCTGTATACGTGATTAGTTCAGGGTTACAGTGGGGAATAGATGTGATTTTGAGATCAAAGATTTCATAAGCAAGTCATTGAGATGTGGGATTTTTTCATTAGCACCTTGAAAGAAAAATCTCCATGTATGGTGTAGAAGCCATGTGATACCTTATGTCTACCTGAGTTCAGATCTCACAGAGTCACAGAATGGCTCAGGTTGGAAGGGACCTCAGGGATCGTGAATCTCCAACTTCCCTGCCACATGCAGGGCCACCAACCTCCCCATTTAATACCAGACCAGTCTGCCCAGGGCCCCATCCAACCTGGCCTTGGACACCTCCAGGGATGCATAGGGCATCCACAACCTCCCTGGGCAGCTGTTCCAGCATTTCACCACTCTCATAGGAAAGAACTTCCCCCTGACATCCAACCTAAGTCTTCTCTGTCCCAATTTCAAACTATTTCCCCTTGTCCTGCTGTTATCTACCCTTTCAAAGAGTTGACTCCCCTCCTGTTTATAGGCTCCCTTTAGATACTGAAAGGCTGCAGCCTTCTTTTCTCCAGGCTGAACAAGCCCAGCTCCCTCAGCCTCTCTTCGTAGGGGAGGTGCTCCAGCCCCCTGATCATCTTTGTGGCCCTCCTCTGGACCCTCTCCAACAGCTCCAAATATTTCCTGTATTGGAGGCCTCACACCCCACCTCAGTACTCTGTATGGGGCCTCATGAGGGCAGAGTAGAGAGTGACAATCACCTCCCTGTCCCTGCTGGCCACTCCTGTTCTGATGGAGCCCAGATTACTGTTTGCTTTCCGAACTTCAAGAGCACACTGCTGACTCATGTTAAGTTTTTCAGCCATCAGAACTGCCAGGTCCTTTTCTGCAGGGCTGCTCTCAAGGACTGCTCCTTCCAGTCTGTAAATATGCCTGGGATTCCTTTAGCCCAAGTACAAAACTTTGCACTTTGCTGTCTCCTTGATCTTTCTGATCTGTGTATCTAAATGAAGAACCTTGTGTGTCTTACGTCTGTATTTTTTAATTTCAGCTACTTCTGTGGATAAGGGTGAGTGTATGGGAGGGTCAACCCTGAGCTTACTCCACGATAAGACTTTCAACTACACAGGAGACAGCCAGGCCCAGGAGCTGTGTCTGTATCTAACGAAGGCAGCCAGCGTGCCCTACTTTGAAATTCTGGAAAAGTGGATATATCGAGGCATCATTAATGATCCATACAGGTAAAGGACAGTTAAAGAATGAAAACAAAATGAAGAAGTTAAGAAATACCTTCCCTCTCATGTCCATCTTTGTGTTCCCTTCTCACGTCTGCATCCTCTTCAGGACAGGGGTGAGCTCTATTCTTATAAAATCCTATTCTTGTAGCTCACTGAATCCATGTTAATGTAGTCCACTAGCATGATGATCTGATTCAAGCTAACAATGCTCTCTAAAGTTTCTTGGCATTGGTAGAATCATTTAAAGCATTTTCTGTGTTTATGCAACATTTCTGTTGTCCACATTTTCAGAATGCAAAGAGGGAAGAAAATGAAGTTAAAATAGCTTAAAAGAACGCTTTTCTGGTGCTGAGAAAGCAAAGGCCAGCTTTCTCGCCTGTACTCTGACAGCCAAATAGCATTTGACTTGATTCCTGAGCGCTATATAATTATGTTTCTGTTGTAACTGATTGTGGATTAGCACAAACACAGCACAAAATGCTGCCTGTCTTAGTGCAAACTAATTTCAGTTCTTGATTGAAATATATCTTCATGAGACCTTATTTCTGACATATCATATTCACACTGACCATATTAACAGGTCAAAAAAGTAATCCCCATTGTACCACCTCCTGCTTCTAAACATCTGCTTTAACTGTCCAGTGAGTTCATGGTGGAGGAACACGAGTTGCAGAAGGAGAAGATTCAGGAAGACTATAATGACAAGTATTGGGATCAAAGATACACGGTTGTTCAGCAGCAGATTCCCTCTTTCTTGCAGAAAATGGCTGACAAAATACTAAGCACAGGTAGGTAAACATACATTTCTTTTTTAAGAGGAGTCTGAGATGATCGTTGCCATTGTTTTTGTAAAGAGAAATTAAAGGATTGCCCAGCTACAACTTCTCAGAGAAACAGAAAAATTAAAAGCAACTCTAAATCATATACATGAAAATGTCGGAAGGAGTCCAGCAGCTAAAGGAGCTTTCTGTCTTTCTGCTCTGGTACGTGGATACAGTTTTACAGCAGCTAGATAGATGAAGCTAGATGTGTGTGGTTTGAATACTGTGTCTTTATTTGGGCACTTAAAGGCTGTGTGCTGCCTGATGGTTATCATTGCTTCTTGCTGCAACTACAGACTCCTCAAAAACTGTTTTTGAAGTGCAACACCAGATTTTCTTGGCTGTCTGTAAAGGTATTTTACCACCAGTGGGGACAGAAAACATTTCTAAATCACTTCTTAAACATAATATTAGTAGCCTAGTTTAATTTCTGTGTCATCTTTTGAAAGGCATCTAAATCCTTTCCAGTTTTAGGTTGAACTCAATATAAGATTTCACAATATACCTGCTATTCCATTTGGTAACAGTGATCTGGAGGCTTTTCTCGTGGCAACACATACAGTTAGTGCAAACGTGGATCATCTGTTTTCTTTTCAGGGAAATACTTGAATGTTGTGCGAGAATGTGGACGTGATGTTACCTGCCCTGTGGCTAAAGAGGTCATCTATACTTTAAAAGAGCGAGCATATGTGGAACAAATAGAAAAAGCATATAACTATGCTAGCAGAGTTCTTCTGGATTTCCTAATGGAGGAGAAAGAGCTTGTGGCTCACCTAAGGTTTGGTTTATTTTCTTAAATACATGTTAAATAGGTTGGTTCTGATTGCAAATATCAGGTTCTAAAGTTAACTCTCTTTTCCTGGGATATTCTCTCTGTTTCTGTTAGAAATGCTGACCTGAAAAAAAAAAAAGAAAAAAAGGGAAAGATTTGTTTTTTCCTGAAATAAAATAAAAAAGCAATGTAAAATTGTGGAAATATTGGATGTGAGGGACCTTTAGGGTTCTCTCGTCCAACTTCCTACTGAAAGGCTACCACCAAAACTGTGTCTTGCCAAAACTGGCCACTGGGCTTAATCTGACTTTATCTGACTCTGTCTTGAAATTGCCTGCAACCACAGTGGCTTAAGCTGTGCTAGTACCATTTTTGCTTCAAAAAGTGGCAGTGATTATGTATGTTCTCTGGCAAGAAGCAGACTTCATCTTCCAGTTTTCTTGAGAGCTATTTCCAATCCCATTGCAGTTAACTCTCCCTGAAGCTTGGTGAAAATTGTAGTTGGTGCATCATACTATAGCAGAAGTCAACACAAGCACACAAGGAAGTCTTCAGAAGTCAGTACAGACACTTGGACAAGAGAGTCCATGATTCTGCTCTGAGATGGCAGCTGCCTCTTGGATGGATCTGGACTCTGGATGTTGGGTTGTTGTCCAGGATAGCAGTGTAATCCATTGCCTTGCAGTGTAGTGCATACTTTTATTCTCAAGGTACATTTTTACAGGAGCAAAAGAACAGCTGCACAACAGCGTTCTGATTGAGCTGACTGGAAGTAGGACAGCACACATTAAAAAAAAAAAAATCCAAATAGGTTATTTTTGTCTGTTAAAAAAGCAAGTTAAAAAACATGTTTTTTTTGAAACATAATCAATGATCTTCATTTTCTTGAGCAGATCTATAAAACATTATTTCCTGATGGATCAAGGGGACTTTTTTGTTCACTTCATGGATCTCACAGAAGAGGAACTTAAGAAGCCTGTAGATGACATCATAACTACTAGGCTAGAAGCATTGCTTGAGTTGGCCTTGCGAATGAGCACAGCCAATACAGATCCTTTCAAGGATGATTTAAAGGTAAAAAAGTGTGTAAGCGGAAGGCTTACCATGTATTGAGGAAATCTCTGTGCCTATGAGAAACTGCTGAAAATGCAGTGAAAGAAAGAAGAATTGATGGCTATATTTCTGTAGGCCTTCTCTGGGTGAAGTATGTTTATTTCATTGACATTAACAGTGGGAAGTTCTGATCAGGCAGCAAGGGGCTGCATTTTTTTGTTGATGTCTGAGCACAGAGAAAGTGCTTTTGAGTGGCATCAGGATGAGGTGAAAGCAGTAATGTGTCTCTCACCCATGTTCTCAAGCTTGGATGCCCAGTTGGGAGTGCAAAAAAATCCTTGATTATAAGTTCTCACTACTGATTGTTGCAGCTCAGTTGAAAGCCTTTACAAATATGAACCAGCATACAAGCTGTACTTGGGGAGTTTGAGATGACTTTATAAACAGCACAGCAACACTGCTTTGCTGTCTGCTGCAGCACTGTCCAGATGGTTCCATTCCTCATCGCTCCCTAGGCTGATCCAATGACTTGAGTCACTACTCTGATAATTTGCTACTTAACTAGTAGCAACTAGTTACTGGTAGTTGTGAGTACCCCATGGCTTCATTGTTTTCCTGCTTTTCTTTATAGATTGACTTGATGCCCCATGACCTCATTACACAGCTCTTGAGAGTATTGGCCATAGAAACAAAGCAGGAAAAAGCCATTATTGGTGCAGATCCCACGGAACTCACTCTCAGTGGTCTGGAAGCATTTTCCTTTGACTACATTGTTAAGTGGCCTCTGTCCCTGATTATAAACAGGTAAGGTATCCATCCACTTAAAAAAAAAAAAAAAAAAGGCAGAAGCCTTTGTACAGGTTTACAACACATTTCCAAACAGCAAAATGCTGCAAAGTCTGTCTTTAAAGTGACACTAAAAGTTGTTGATAAGTGGAGAATGATTGCTCCACTTGTTCCTCTGGTAGACTAGAGCTTGTCTCTTCAGTACAGTCCTACCAGGCCATGCCTAAGATACGCATGGAAAATTGATTTTAAATGATGGAAAGATGTAGATCAAGGGATACTTTATGAGTCTGGTCTCTGTTTTTTTTTTTTTTTTGTGACCAGTCCCCCAGCTGTCATCTGTCCATGGCTTTTTGAAGGATCTTTCTGAGAGTGAACTCTCATTTAAGAATTTCCGTGTTTGCAATCAAACATTTCTCAGATGTGGAAGTGCAAAAAAGCTTTCTGGTAGCCCTGGTTGCAAACTAGAAGGATACTACTGGCTTTTGCTAGAATTATTGCAGCAGGCCATTTCGCATTAAATTGAGTTAGGATAAACAGAGTGCTTTGTTTTTCTGTGGTGACTTGCTTCTCCACAGAAATTGGGCAGTGGCAGACTGTGAGCCAGGAAAATGGGGCAGGCAGTGGTAGGTGCTAAATGCCAGCAGTATCCCCTCACTTCTGTGAAGTTATCAGTTGACACAATGGAACTTCCGTAATGACACAATGTCTCTGAAATTATGTCTCTTTCTTTCAAATTGGGTATATTAACTTTGATGGTAACTATGGAAGTGAAAATACTAAGTGGTACAGTTTCACAAACTGTATTGGCTGGAGCTCTGTGGACGCCTACACTGAAGTGTCTGAGCACAGACCTGCACCCAGTCCCCGAGCCTATAAATAAGCATCCCATCTGCTTCTGACAGCGTGTTGCAGGCAGGGTGATGCTGCCTATAGCTTGGTTGCAGTTTTTCTTAATCTTTTTGGAGAATCCTGGTGAATTATTTTGGCAGTCGTTGCAGCTTTGCTGCAGCAGTGACACAACTGCAAGCTTTCAGACCTCTGTCCCAGCTTGTATGTGAGTGATCTTTCTGCAGGTTGATCAAGGGCGTCAGAGAAGGAGGCGCATGAAGTACCTGGTGGCAGGAAGCGTGAAGGAGGGACACTTCAGGAGTAATTCTTTGAGATGATTACAAATGCTTTTTTTTCATCTGTTAGAATTGTTTCAGTGAAGATCTGTGCGTCTGAAGGCGTAAGGAGCATATTGTGTTAAGTCTCTTTGCCTCAAAGTAGCCTCAGCCTTCACAGCTTAATCTGTCAATCAGAAGAGAGCTTAATCTGAATGGTTTTCTCCTTTCTTTCCAGGAAAGCACTGACAAGATACCAGATGCTTTTCAGACACATGTTCTATTGCAAACATGTGGAAAGGCAGTTGTGCAACGTTTGGATCAGCAATAAGACAGCCAAGCAGTTCTCCCTACATTCAGCTAAATGGTATGGCTTCCTTTTCTGCTGAGGCTTTGGTTTTCCTTCTTCCTAGTTAGATGCATTGTGACATGAATTGGATTATTTTGACATGGAGCAGATAGTTGCAAAGTTCTGACTGGCAGAGGGAGGTCAAACGTAACATTTTAGGATGCAGTAGGAAGTGTCTGCTCTGTAATCTTCGGGCTGCTTGACTTGTTCCTCTTTGATGGCACAAAGTTTGGAAAAGGAATTGTAGGAACACACAAGTGTCCTGAGTTGGAAGAGACTCACAAGGATCTTTCAGTCCAATTCTTGGCTCCACACAAGACTACTCAAAATCCAATCCCTATGTCTGAGAATGCTCCTTGAGCGCTGGCAGCTTGGGGCTGTGACCTCTGCCCTGAAGAGCTTGTTCCATGCCCGCCACCCTCAGTCTCAGATGGTCTCACAAGGCAGGCCTGTGGTACTGCAAGGAAACACCTTCTATCTTGTCTATGGCACTCAGTTCTCACAAGGTACCCTCAGCTACCTTGGCACTGACCTCAGCCAACATGAGCTCTTGCTCTCTTGACACCGTAGAAGGATTAGTGGAGGAGACTTGGGAGGATCTGTAATGCAAGCCCCTGCTCACAGCATGACTGCCACAAGTGGACAGGGTACCCGTAGCTGAAACATGATGGGAGGGTCTCCCCATTGCTCTGATGGCTTGTCCTAGTTTGTTGAAGGCTGTTCTTATTTTGATGTCACAACCTGAAACCTTGAAAGGAGCTCTGTATAATTCTGCCATTCTAATTTTGAAGTGAAATGGCATTGAATATCCTAGATATGGGTGATTTATTTAAATCCAGGGATCCCTGATCATACTGATGGATAGGATATTTTCAAGTATTCATTTAACAAGTGAATGTTTACGTGCTAGAAAGAAATGTGAAACATTTTGCATGTTATATTTTTCACTGCTAGCAAACACGTCTCACTAGTTAAAGTGATAAAATGGCTTTAATACTGTCCATTTATGGTTGGACGTGATCAGATTACAAATCTACTGTCTAGTGCACAGCAGGTTCAAAACTCTGAATCGCACAGTTGAGGGGAAAGTTGTTTCCATACATGGAAGTTAATCAGAGATGTTCTGCAATAACTTTGTAATCACTCTCAGACTGCAGCAGGGAATTTGCTAGGACAGAAATAGTTAGCTCTGCTTTGCTTAGCTGTGCAAGCTTGGTTCTGTGTGGCATTTGCTAGCTCAGAGTTGTGTGGGTGTGATTTCTCCCCTAGGTTTGCTGGTGCTTTCACACTGCGGCAGCGAATGCTGAATTTTGTGCAGAATATCCAGTATTACATGATGTTTGAAGTGATGGAGCCAACATGGCACATTCTCGAGAAGAACTTGAAATTGGTGAGTGTGTGTGCTTGAGAGAAGTTAGAACAGAAATCTTATGTTAGGAGAAGATGTCTTGTTCTAGTTACTGTTAAATGTTCTATTGGAGGAACTGTTCTTATCACACTACTGCTGTTCTGCATCACCTTTCTGCTTTGTTAGTCATGTATCCCTTTCCTCTATCGAACCCTCCTGTCTGTGCCCAACTTCCATGCTCTCTTCATCCTGTTATGGAAGGGTAGCATTCTGCTGAGCATCACCAAGAATAAAAAGGTGTGGATAAGGAAGAAGGATGTGAGGTGCAAAGATCACAAGCAGGTCCAGACATCTTCCTCTGATTCCTTGGCTGACTTACAGCTCTCTTAAAAGCTGTGTCTGTGCTTTCTTGTCTTTGGAACTGCGAAAGATTAACCCTTTGAGGCAGGAAGAGGCCTTTCACTTTATTTTTCATGTTAGGACTATTTGTTATAAAAGGGTTTTTCCTCTTCAGATGGTTATTCTTCTGGTCTATTTCCACTAGGCTGGAGAACTTTTCCACTCCTGTGATGTCTGAGAGAGGCTAAGCTCATTTCCTGCTGGTTTTTATGCCTGACGAGGGGTTATCTGGGCAAAATACGCCTGACCTCTCCTTTCATGGACGTACAGCATTCTGGGCTGAGAGATTTTCTAAGTGTGTAAAGCAGCGTTCCTGGTTCATTGATCAAAATAAAGTCAGTCACTTCTCCAGAAGTTAACTCTTTGCCCTAGCACAAGCTCCAGGTACCAGTTTTTATCTCCTGATGGGCATATGAGATGCCTTTATCACCTCAGAAAGAAGCATATTCCCAGTAAGCATCCTACCTCCCTGTTTTAAGCCGAGAAGACCCCAGAAGAATAGAAGCTGACATTCCAGAACTGATTCTAGGCTATTGAAGAAGCCCTCAGATGCCTTCTGAAATGTGATGTAATCAATTCAGATTAGAAGGTTCCAGACAACAGAGAAAAAATCTGTTACTGGAAGACCAAGGATTTGTCTCTCTTAGGTAAACACATCTCTCCTTTCCCTTTTTACCTGACTGCAGTAGTGGTCTGGACTTTTGAGTTACCGTTAGGCAGGTGGAATTCATTAGGCAAGTGAACGATGATGCTTGATTACTGGCATATCAAGTGAAAGCTACAGCAAAGCTGTGAATACATGTTATCTACCTTGCCATCAGCCTGGCCCAGCCTGCAGCTTTGTTGTTTCCCCGGAACACATGCCAGAGCATGGCTGGAATTGCCTGGCTGTGGCTGGTTTCTGGCATACAGACTCTTTGGACAAGACTCCATGGGAGGAAAACATTAAAGAGCAAAAAAAGATGGCATCCTAGGTTGCTTTGGCACTGTTAACTAAAACAAGAGCAGAGACATAGGCTGCCTGCTCTTTGTTACACAGCAAATGGCTCCACTGGGTTCTGTGCGGTACAGGATGAAATTTAGGCTTTGATCCTGAAGGGAGTTGAGCAGATACATTGGCAGTGCTGGTCTGGAGCTTTGGTGTCCTGGTTTGGTTTTTCATTAATGTACTATCCTCCAACAGGCTTCTAATATTGATGATGTTCTGAGCCACCACACGAGCTTTTTGGACAACTGCCTGAAGGACTGCATGCTGACCAACCCTGAGCTGCTGAAGATCTTCTCCAAACTGATGTCTGTCTGTGTCATGTTCACAAACTGCATGCAGGTATGCACAGTCTCCCCCATTTTATGCCAGCTACTCTGTGTGCTAGGCAACCATGATGATCCCTTCTTTTAACATGATTCCTCTCTTGCTCTCAGAGTAGTTGGAAGAGCTTTTCCCACCCACCAACAGGCTTTATGAGCTCAAACTTTCCTCCACATCATTTCTGTGTCTGTTCCGTCCACAAAATTCTATGTGCTCTTCTTTCCCAGTGTTGGAATCAGGTTCCTGTGGACCTAATCGCCTCTCTTCATCTATTCTTGCAGCAGAATTTGAGATGAAAACTGTAGAGCTGGCTAGGTTTTTGTTCTTGCAAAGGCCAGCTGAGGACCAGCCATGAAGACTGATCTCCTTAGGCAAACTCTAGTCAGTGTATCAGGGAGCCTATTTAAAAACAAAAGAAAACTAGACACCTTCCTTTGGGCATATTAATTCTGTAAATGTAATCTCAGGGTTGGCTTTAGTGGGGATTAACTAGCTGCAGGGCTAGGAGGGTTGCATCAACCTCATGCATTGCTGTTGTGGAGGAGATGGGTTTTAACCATGTCCCCAACCCTCTGCCCTTTCCAGAGGTTCACCCAGAGCATGAAGCTGGATAGCGAGATGGACCGGCTCAGCCTAGAACATGGCACAATGCTGGGCCCACCGACAGAGGAAGAGCGTGCTGAAGAGACCGCAAAGAAGAAGCTAACTAACAAGGTGGGGCGCTGGGTGCATTGATGGGTTCTCTAAATGTTGCCTGGGGCTGCAGCTTGATTGGAGCGGCTGTCCTGCCTCCTACAGGTGGACCTTTCTGGTTTCCAGCACACCTCTGGCCCCAAAAGCAGAATCTTTGTAGAATGTGGGGGTATTTCTGAGGACACTGTGGAGCACTGATGGCACTCCAAGTCTGCTTTGAGGACCTTGTCTCTCACAGCAGTCCCTGCCATTGTTCTTCAGTTCTTAGCTGTATTTCCAGCTGCATGCATGAAGGTGGATGAGCCAGTAAGCTTGGAGTCTGACAGTCCTTCCCTTTTGTATATGAGATATTTGCCTTGTCCGTGTTTCTATATTTTTCCCTGTTTAGATGCATGCTTACTAAGCCACTTGTTGTGCTCTGCTGTTAGCAGAAAATAACCAACAGCATATATTTGAGTATTATTCTACTGGGGTCTACTTTGGTGTCTTCCCAGATGGGCAAAGCAAGGTTTTTAACCACTGAAGATTTTGCAGCTGTTTTGAAAATGTTATTACAGTGCCTGAGTTACCGTTAAGTTTTATTGGCAGTATTTTTGACCAGGTTTTGAAAAAGGGATGGGATAGTTGCATCTCCTTGACAAACACAAATCCTTTGTCTTGGTAGCTTTTAGCGGAGCATGCTGACAACCTCCATCTGACATCTGGCTTCGAAGCAACAATCAGCAAGTTTGATACTAATTTCTCAACGCATCTACTGGATCTGTTGGACCGGCTAAGCGTTTACAGCACCAATGACTGTGAGCACAGTATGCTTAACATCATCTACAGGTGAGCCAGGGGTTTTCTTTCAGTAGCTCAGATTCAGCCCAGAAGCAGTGATTGCTGTTTTATAGCTGTGTGTGTCTGCCTCATCAGAGGAAAGACTGAAATTGCAAGAAATGTCACTCTGTGTTTCAGGCCATACTTTGAAAAATAGTCTTTTGAATTATGTGAATTTTTTCTGTTCTAATGCACGTGTTAGTTCACATTGCTTTATGAAGTATTCCAGCAGGAGATGGGGCTTTTGGATGTCACTGCAGGCAGTACTGGTCATGGCCAACATAGTGCTGATGGCCAGGTTGCCTGCTCTTTTCATAGAAGAGCATTGTGACCCACAGTCCTCGAGTCTCAGCAGGAACATGTGGAGATCCTTCTGTTGGTGGCATCACCCAGCTCAGTCCCAGGCTGGAGCTGCTTCTCACCTTGCTTAGAAATGCAGAACAGTATCAAGTCCCTGATCATCCTTTTTGTCAAGAAACAGAAGTCCTGCAGCCTTCCATCACACTTAATCACGTCGTGCCAGAGATTACACCAATACCTTTTCTGGCAGTAGCTCAGGTGTCAGGTGTCTTCCCACTGGCACTATTCCTAACTTAGCAGAGGTTCACCTCTTGTCATTGACTCTCCACCCTTCTGTAAACTGTTTATGGTTTCATAGGATGGTGGAAGCTCGTTCTTGTGGTGCTGCACCATGGAGACTAGTGTTGCATCCCATTTGATGCCACGTCCCTGGTGCTATGGCTGGGAGTTGACCCATGCAGAAGCTGTGCAGGCAGTGCTCCCAAATGCTACAGACTTGTTCTTCACAAGTTCTTCCTGCTTCTGATGAATAGAGAAGGATGGTGATTCAGCAGGATGTAAGAAAACAGAATGCTTCCGTTGTCTGTTTGCACTAAGGACAGTGACCTAAAACTGCGTCAGGCTGTTTTCAGAGCAGGGTCTGAGGCCTCTGCCCCCAGGCACTTCCACATCCCACTTCTGTAGAAGGGCTGAAAAGGAAATAGTGTGTCTTAATGCTGCCAGGGCATGCATCACTGTCACGTCTCCCAGTCAGGACTGCATAGGACCATGCAAATCTTCACTGAGGTTTTTGGCACAGATGGACTTTGAGTTACAAAAGCAGGTGTCTCGATTTCCTCATCTGAAATATTGTATGTTAGCAGGACACACAGCAGAATGTGTCTTTCCATTTCCAGGGGCTGCTCAATAGCATTTTAAGAAGTGGAAGCACCACGGTGAACGGCCACACAAGACATTTAGCTCTCATTCAGCCTGCACAAATTATCAGATCCAGTCGTGGACACTGTAGCAACAGGAACCCAGGAACTAGAATGAAAATGATTGCATCTAAAATAACATACTTGAGAGAGAGAGAGAGAGAGAGAGAGAGAGAGAGAATAGATATCAGTGGGACATGCTGATCCTCTCTTACGAACTATAACCACAGATCTTCAGCATGCTGAGTGTGCTTGGGTATCTTGGCTTCATCAGCAGTGCTGACAGAGAGCTGGTGGCTGCAGAAAGTGCCCACAGTCACTGCCCAGTTGGGAAAGGGTGCAGCATCAGAGCAGAGGGAACTGTCAGGTGGATGACTTTGAATCCAAATGCCCTAAAATCTTCACTAATTAAGTGCTGCTAGCACTCATCCTTCTTTCACAAATTTGGAAGCAACAGGAAGGCTGAGTTGGAGGAGGATCACTGAGACATACAGAGTGATGCAAAAAAGAGTGAATGTGTGCTCCAGCCATAAAATGAGAATACTGAGTGAGAGTGGGGTTTGGAAAGCACTGCACCTATCCTTAGGAGTTATCAAAGATAATTTAATCCTAAAAACAGAGTTGGAAAGGAACAGGATGTAAATGAGTCCTGACCGTGTAAGCCCATAAGTTGGAATCAAAATTCAGTAAATAATCCTGCCTTAGTGTCATGTGTCCTTTGCGTAACATTTAAAGGACAAAAGGGATGTAAGCTGCTCAGCCAGGAGAAAGCAGCTGATAAATTCCATCTGTCGAGGCTGTTTTCCCCAGTCATGAAAAATATCAAGGAACAATTTGTTGCCATTTCTGTAAGATTGTTAAGCAACATGAAACTCAAATGTTGTGCCCATTCCGTAAGTATTGGAACAACTTATTTGATAAATGAGGAGAGTAATTTCTGTGTGATGTGCAGGCTGCTGGCCCCTGCTGCTTCGTGCTGCTAGGGTGCACATTTCTCATAGGATCACAGAATGGTTCAAGTTGGAAGGGACCTCAAAAATCAGATAGTTCCACTCCCCCTGCTGTGGGAAGGGTTGCCAAGCATTGGATCAGGTTGCACAGGGCCCCATCCAGCCTGGCCTTAAAGCCAGCAGGGATGGGGCAGTCTCAGCTTCTTCGGATAGCCTGCGCTGGGGCCTCACTTCCCTCTGAATGAAGAATTTGTTCCTAACCTAAAGCTCCCCCTCTTTCAGTTTAAATCAATTTCCCCTTGTCCTATCACTGTCTGCCTGCCTGCTTGTAAGCTCCTTTCAAGCGCTGGAAGAAATATTCTCAGTTGCATGACAGCGTTGCGGAGAGATGCCTGGGGGAGGCCGCAGTGGAGTGAAGCTGGGTGGTTCTGTGCGATTCTGTGCCACCTGAGGCACTGCCTGGTTTACAAAGGAGATAGGCTGATGCTATTGGTGGTGCCGCGTGCTGCAGCAGCGTGTTAACCCACTCGGGGGCGTGGGGCAAGCAGGTTGACTCCTTCCTGTGCTTTGTCCTACAGGTTGGACTTCAACGGGTTCTACACGGAGCGCCTGGAACACATGTCTGCAGAGCGGAGCCAAAGGGCAGCCCCACCCCCCCCCCGTGCTGCCGTGCCAACCCCATGAAGGAGATGGAAGAGCACTGGAATCTCTGGAATAAGCATGATGGATCTGCTCTTCTGAGAAGCTTTTGTGAAGCCTTTTTTTTTTTTTTTTTTTTTTTTAATTACATTGTAAAATGATATCTTTATGTGTAGTAAAATAAAAGTTAAAGAAAAAAAAAAAAATCAGAGTTGTCCTGTTGGCACATAGCACGTGCTGTTGTTTGGTGACCAGAGCATGGTCTGGCCTAGCGGAAGCCCGGTGGGGGCTGCTGGTGGGGGGCCGTCTGATCTCTGCTCAGCCCGATGGCTGCTCTGCTCCAGCGGCCCCTTTGAAGCTCCCTGGGTTCCTGTTGAGGACCGTTGCTCCTTGAATGCCCCGCGGGGTTTTTGTGCCTACTCATTTACACACACATCCTAATCTCAAAAGGTGCTGTGTCCTGCCTCCAGTGTCCCCAGCATGAGGTACACTGACACACACAACTTCAGCTGCCCCAGAACTGCACTTCCTAACTGGCATTTGCTCACTTCAGGTGTGGGTGTGGTTGGACAGAACAGCACAGGGATCCCCACTCCACTTTCCCAGGGCTGAGCTATGACTCTGCATTGAGTTCCAGCACTC